TATATAAATGGAAACCGTGTTCCCTCGCCCAGACGTGGGTCCCCAGGGCCCCCCCCCCTGGAGCCAGGCCTGGAGGTGGGGCACGTTGGCGAGTGTCTGGTGACCAGGCTTTCATCCTTGGAGCCCGACCGTGCACAGCCCGAAGAGGAAACTTGGGTCCCCCTTCCCATAGGCTCACCACTCGTGGGAGCGGCCAAAGGGGTCGGGTGCAGTGTGTGACGGGTGGTAGTAGAGGCCGGGGACCTTGGCGGTCTGATCCTCGGCTACAGAAGTTGGCTCTTGGCACATGGAATGTCACCTCTCTGGTGGGAAAGGAGCCTGAGTTGGTGTGTGAGGTTGAGAGGTTCCGACTAGATATAACTATTCAGGATACCTCAACGCATGGCTCTGGCTCTGGAACCAGTTTCCATGAGAGGGGTTGGACTTTCTACCACTCTGGAGTTGCTCCCACTGAGAGGTGCCGAGCAGGGGTGGGCATACTAGTTGCCCCCCATCTTGGTGCCTGTACGTTGGGGTTTACCCCAGTGAATGAGAGGGTAGCCTCCCTCCGCCTACTTGTGGGGGGACGGGTTCTGACTGTGGTCTGTGCTTATGCACAAAACTACAGTTCAAACTACCCGCCCTTTTTGGAGACCTTGGAGGGGGTGCTGGAAAGTGCTTCTCCCAGTGACTCCCTCGTTCTGCTGGGGGGCTTTAATGCTCACGTGGGCAACAACAGTGAGACCCCGGAACATTTGGGAAGTTCTGTCGGAGGTGGGAATTGAAGCTCCTTCTGACAGGAGACTCTGCCAGTCGTGCCCAGCAAACCCTAGCGATACATTTGGGCCTGCCTGGTCTGACCGGGATCCTCCCCCACCATCTGAGCCAACTCACCACCAGGTAGAGGTCAGTTGACAGCTCCGCCCCTCTCTTCACCCGAGTGTCCAAGACATGCGGCCGCAGGTCAGATGAAACAACAACAAAGTTGATCATCGAGCTGCAGCCTAAGGTATCCTGGTGCCAAGAGCACATATGGACACCTTTATGTCTGAACATGGTGTTCATTATGGACAATCCATGACTGGCACAGAAGACCAATAACAAAACACAACTCGAATTCAGATCAGTGGGGCCGTTCCTCCCAACCACACCCCTCTGGGGGAGGCAGTGGACATCGAGTCTGAATGGACCCTGTTCCGTGCCTCCATTGTTGAGGCGGCCGACAGGAGCTGTGGTCGCAGGATTGTTGGTGCCCGTCGTGGTGGCAACCCCCGAACCCGGTGGTGGACACTCGCGGTTAGGGATGCTGTCAAGCTGAAGAAAGAGTCCTATCAGGTCTTTTTGGCCTGTGGGACTCCAGAGGCAGCTGACGGGTACCGGCAGTCCAAGCGGAACGCGGCTCGGGTGGTCACCAAGGAAAAAACCCGGGCATGGGAGGAGTTCGGTGAGACCATGGAGCAAGACTTCCGTACGGCTTCAAGGAGATTCTGGTCCACCATCCGGCACCTCAGGGGGGTAAAGCAGTGCGCTACCAACACTATTTATAGTGGGGACGGTGTGCTGCTGACTTCTACTCAGGACGTTATGGATCGGTGGGCAGAATACTTCAAAGACCTCCTCAATCCCACCGACATCTTCCAGTGAGGAAGCAGAGTCTGGGGACGTTGGGTTGGCCTCTCAAATCTCTGGTGCTGAGGTCACTGAGGTGGTTAAAAAGCTCCTCTGGGGCAAGGCTTCAGGGGTGGATGAGATCCGCCCAGAGTTCCTTAAGGCTCTGGATGTTGTGGGGCTGTGTTGGCTGACACGGCTCTGCAATATCGTGTGGACATCGGGGGCAATCCCACTGGACTGGCATACCGGGGTGGTGGTTCCCTTATTTAAAAAGGGGGGCCGCAGGGTGTGTTCAAACTACAGGGGGATCACACTCCTGAGCCTTCCTGGTAAGGTCTAGTCAGGGGTTCTGGAGAGGAGGGTCCATCGGATTGTTAAACCTCAGATTCAGGAGGAGCAATGTGGTTTTCGTCCTGGCCGTGGAACACTGGACCAGCTCTATACGCTTAGGGGGATCCTGGAGGGTGCGTGGGAATTTGCCCAACCAGTCTACATGTGTTTTGTGGATTTGGAGAAGATGTTTGACCGCGTCCCTCGGGGGGCCCTGTGGGGGGGCACTCCGGGAGTATGGGTTACCAGGCCCTCTGATATGGGCTGTTAGGTCCTTGTATGACTGATGTCGGAGCTTGGTCCGCATTGCTGGCAGTGAGTCGGGCTTTTTCCCAGTGAGAGTTGTGGGCCATTCCCATCTGTATCTGGTCAGCCCGGCCTGGATAGCATAGGTTGCTTACATATCTTGGTGGCCTGCCTTTATTCAGGGTGAGTTTTGCGCTGAGCATCGTGTAGTGTACAGGGGGTTACGAGAGGCGATTAACACCATGTGACCAGCTACCGATCAGCAATCGTGAGCTCGCACGTACTTCTGGCGTGTTTGATATTTTGCTCATCCCTCGTGAGGGTATCACACGCACTGTTGAAGCGGCGCTGCGAGCAGAACCGCTCACGGCGCATGCGCAATCATGCATCAACACCGCTCGTCCGCTATTTCCCTATTAACACGCGTTGTTCGTTTTTATTTCTACACGTTTTTTTACTCACAAAGATTGTCAAGAAAGCGCGTTTGTTGTGTTCATGTCAAATTAAACTGAGCACAAAACAGAGATTTACTTCCTTTATTTCGTTTTCCTCATCCAACCCCCATAAATCCCTGTGTGTCCCCCCCTGCAGCACTCCCGAAGGACAACAGGCAAGACAAAAAAGTCTGACATATTGTGTAAAAACTGCCATTTTTAGCATATTTTTAGGTCAGACGTGTTGCTACCAGACGTACAGTGTGAGCAGTCAGGTCGCATCCGAGAACTGAGTCGTACAGTGTGAGCACATGACTCGTGAGATCTGCCCTGCGAGGAACTCGTACAGTTTGAGCTGAAGCTGAGTGCTACGAGTGAAAAAGTCGCACAGTGTCTGCCCAGCTAAAGGCATGCTCAATTCATTATCATTCATCATCATGATTACCTAGAAGCTGAAAATGTCTCTGACTGCATTCCTTGCATACCTAAGCAAGGATGTGTGGAATCAACCGGGCCAGGCTGGCGCCAAATGGAGCTATCCGGGTAGGGCCGACCAGGTACAGATGGGAATGGCCCATTGGACCGCCAAGGCTGCCCTTTGTCAACGATTCTGTTCATAACCTTTATGGACAGGATTTCTAGGTGCAGCCAAGGTGTGGAGGGCATCCGTTTTGGTGGCCTGAGGATCAGGTCTCTGCTTTTTGCAGATGATGTGGTCCTGCTGACTTCATCAGAACATGATCTTCAGCTTTCGCCGGAGCAGTTCGCAACAGAGTGTGAAGCAGCTGGGATGAGAATCAGCTCTTCTAAATCTGAGACCATGGTCTTGATTCGAAAAAGGGTAGAATGCCTTCTCCGGGTCAGGGATGAGGTCCTGCCCTAAGTGGAGCAGTTTAAGTATTTCGGGGTCTTGTTCACGAGTGAGGGAAAACTGGAGCGTGAGATCGATAGGCGGGTGGTGCTGCATCTGCAGTGTTACGGGCGTTGTACCGGTCTGCCGTGGTGAAGAGAGAGCTGAGTCAGAAGGTGAAGCTCTCGATTTACTGGTCGATCTACGTTCCTACCCTCACCTATGGTCATGAGTTTTGGGTAGTGACCGAAAGAACAAGATCGCAGATACAAGCGGCCGAAATGAGTTTTCTCCGAAGAGTGGCTGGGCTCTCCCTTAGAGACAGGGTGAGAAGCTCGGTCACTCGGGAGGGGCTCGGAGTAGACCCGCTGCTCCTCCACATTGAGAGGAGCCAGTTGAGGTGGTTCGGGCATCTGGTCAGGATGCCTCCTGGACGCCTCCCTGGTGAGGTTTTCCGGGCACGTCCAACCGGGAGGAGACCTAAAGGTAGATCCAGGACACGTTGGAGGGACGATGTCTCTCACCTGGCCAGGGAACGCCTTGGGATTCCCTCGGAGGAGCTGGCCCAAGTGGCTGGGGAGAGGGAAGTCTGGGCCTCTCGCCTTAGGCTACTGCCCCCGCGACCCGACTCCGGATAAGCGGATGAAAATGGATGATGGATGGATGGAAAGCAAATGCACCATTAGCTAAAATATAAAGCTAACGTTATCTTAAACAGTTTATTTTGCTGCTGGAGCAAATTAAGATGATGATGCCTCACACTTAGATCGTTGTCGCTGGTTTCATCATCACCCAACAGCCCATCGCATTTAGTGAAGTGAAGCCAAACTTTAGAGCGCGTTCGCTTTATTCTAGTCGGAATTTCGGAGTTCAGAGGAGAAAGCGAACGCACCATTAGCTGAATGGAAGCTAACACATCAAGCTAACGTTATCTTAAACATTTTATTTACCTACCAGAGCGGATTAAGATGATGATGATGCCTCACTGAGATCACCGTTTCTGGTTTCATCATCACCCAGTTACCCATCCAATTTAGTGAAGAGGACCCAAACTTGAAAGCTTCCTCTCTACCATGCTGCTTTCTCTGTTTACAGCTTACCCACAGTGTTTGACGACATTACGCTCTTGCATCTAGTTCTCATTATGAAGAACGGGTACCGAAACAAGGCACCGTTTTATATGAAGTGATTCGGTACTGAGCCGGTACTATGGAATTTGGTCGGTGCTTTAAAAAGTACCGAATTTGGTACCCATCCTAGGTGGGGGTGTTAATCTATAGGTTAGGCAGAATTGTTTTTCTCTGCTTTTCTACAATTGGCTTAAACTTCTTCACCACGCTGCTGAGTCGTGTTGTCAGAAATGAGTAACACACATGCATATTTTCTACAGAACTCACTCGTCTGCAGCTTTTTGCGTAGTTTAGAGAGGTGAGTCGTACCAGCGTAATTAGATGCCAAATTGCATACTTGCTACACAAAATGTGTACAGATTGGCAGGTCTGGATTTGTTTTCAAGGAAATCTGAAGAGTAAGACAAAACACCTCCTCACCTGAAACCGATCCAGAATCGGTTTCCATGACAAAACCAGCAGGGCATCTTTGCGAATCTTCTTGGGAATGTCCGAGTAGAGCAGGGCGTTTTCCCTGCTGGCATAAGGCATTCCTGTGACGACAAACACAGTCGATTAAGTCTAAACACCACTGACCTGTCAAGCAGATTTGGTTTTACTCGAGCTGACAACATTGACGTTTAACAGTGATCTTAACTGGTATGTAGAAAAACGTCTGGTGACTAAATGGACATGATGATTTGTTCAGAATTTGGAGACCTTTGAAGGAATCTGAAAAACACTTTGACGCCACAACCAACCCCTTACCGAGGTAGTAGATGCGATGAGAATGCGGACTAGCCTCATCTTTTGGAACAAACTGGAAATCATGTGGTGCCTTGCTGATCACGACGCCGGTGTTTTTGCGGCTGTTGTGGATGATCTTCCTCAGCCCATCCCAAGAGTGCTTCTCCACATGGAACTGGGTAGGATTCACATCCTCCATCTCCACCACCTCTGTGCTGTCAGACAGCTCGTCCACTCCGGTCATGCCTGCCAGTGCCTTTTTGATGCTGTTGACGGAAAATCTCACATCAGTGTCCGATAAACACAGACTAGACTGCAATAATAAATATGCTTTTTTTTTTGAGGGCGCCTTTCTAAGACCCAAGGTAAAAAAATAAAAATAAACTGAAAAAAGGAACATTTAAAGAAACATTGGAGTTCTCTTGAGAGGGTACCAGTTATGATGCGAGCTGCAGAGTTCTGTAGGAGTTGGAGTTTAGGAAGGGACTTTTCAGGGAGACCAAAAGGTAGAGAGTTGCAATAATCAATACAAGAGGTGATGAGACTATGGACAAGTTTTGCAGCCGCATGGGGAGTAAGAAATGGCCTAAGTCTGTTTATGTTGCGTTAAGTGGAAGTAAGCAGACCGAGTGACGTGACTGATGTGAAGAGTGAGCCATCAAATAAGACACAAAGACTCTTTACCTGAAAAGAGGGATGGACGACGGAGTTTTCAACGTTGATGGAGAAGCTGGGAGATTTGTTTAAGGTGAAGGCTGTATCAACAAGTAGGAGTTTTGTTTTATTGCTATTGAGCTTGAGTAAATTAGAAGAAAGTCATGATCTAATCTCCAATAGGCAGTCAGAGAGGGAGGTTGGTGGAAGCTGGGAATTGAGTTTGGAGGAGATGTAGAGTTGGATGTCGTCAGCATAACATTAAAATTGATACTGTATTTGTGAAATATTTGTCCAAGAGGAAGCAGATAAAAAATTAATAAAAGGTGTCCTAAAACTGAACCTTGGGGCACTCCTGCAGCAACAGGGAACAAACTTGGAGAGGGATTGACTTGAATGAACTGAGTGCAGCCTGAAAGATAGAAGGTAAACCAGACAAGATGAGTATGACTAATGCCAATAGATGCTAATCTTTTCAGGAGAACATCAGAAAAATTGTTTCAAATGCTGCACTCAGATTGAGTAGGATGAGAATAGTGTAAAGACCAGAATCAGCTGCTATCCATAGATTATTGGTGATCTTCACCAAAGCTGTTTCAGTACAATGATGGGGTCGGAAACCAGATTGAAATTTGTCATAAAGGTTACAATAATTGATATGAGAGAAGCTCAGAAAAAACAACTTTCTCAAGGATTTTGGGAAGTTTGGATATTGGATGAAGATGGCTAGTTTTTACTGTAGAGCTGACATTAACTCTAACACAGGGGTGTCAAACTCCAACTCACAAGGGGCCGAAATGAAACTCTGGGACGGAGTCGAGGGCCAAACTTAATATTTTTTGAAAAAGTGACGGCAAATTTGCACATTTTCTTTATCAACATATATGCAATTTTTAACCTTTAAATTTGGAAACAAACTTATTTATGCTTTAACACTGAATGTGGAATAACCAAATTACACACGAGCAAGTCAGTTTTAAATAAAAGGCATCAGTGGTATTCATTACTTGTGGTATAATCAGCATTTTAAAAATCTATTCAGGATTTATGTTTTCTTGTTTATTCATTTGTCTTATGTTTTATTCTCATTTTTTCTCCTGTAATATGTGTCATCGCTGCTGTGACGTCTAGCTTTCCCCACTGAGGAACAATAAAGGGATTTTCTATTCTATTCATCTATCTGCAGCCTTTCCACTTCCTGTTTACTGTAGGTTAAACCTTTTCTCACGGGCCAACAACAAAATAAAAATATAATTTTATCTTAAATGAAAATGCAACATCTCACCTGTTAACTTTCATGTTTTGAGCAGAAAAAGAGCATAAAACCAACATATTTAAAGCTCAGTTTGCTCCACTGGTTTACTGTGATGCTCACCTGTTCCAGCCAGATACCTTCATCATGGGGTTGATCTGAGCTGAGGAGGAGACTCCTGTTGTTTTGTTCATCTTCATCATAATAATGACAACATTAGATGACAACAGCTGCTCACATAGGTTTGTGCTGATGAACATGTCTGAGCAGCTTGACCACGTTGGTGTGTGCCGTGGAGGAAACACAACGACTGCAACCACAGAGCCGTGCTGGTTTGAGCGTGTCGCTGTTTGCTGGAGTTATATTGGCTCTGTCTGGAAGTTAGTTGGAAAACTTTCTCTTTCAGTCGTGAACACATTACTGAGAGGCTAAAATCTCCGATTCTGGGCTTCAATGTCAGAAAACGCGTGAACTCGATGCTGAGTGAGAGGAGTGTAGTTTGTCCGAGACAGCGGAGCTGCACACCGGCAGCAGGCGCTGGGAAAAACACAAAGGAGGGGGCGCGTCGGCTCCGCGCTGACGCCGCAAAGCATCATGGGAGTTGGTCTTTGCGGTAAAATCGGCCAACGGGCCAGTTTTAATATATTTTTGATATTTATCTCGCGGGCCACATAAAAATGCTCCGCGGGCCGCATCTGGCCCACGGGCCTTGAGTCTGGCATATGTGCTCTAACATGTTTTGGGATGTGAATGCTGTGGAAAAAGTCCTCCAGACCAAAATATATTTTCTAAATAAAAACTGGAACCATACCTACCTTTTCTGGCCGTCTTCTGTTTTATCCTCAGTTTTCAGCCTCTTTACCTTGTGCATTAACTGTTCAGCAACCTTAAACCAAACCGGACAGCCTGCAAAACAGAAAGGCAGAGACACAAGAATCAAAGACATAATTGAAATGCTTTTCCTCTAGGTTAACAGTTTCCAAAACTATTTTTAAAAGCCAATTAAAAAGACAAATAATAATCAGGCACCTGTGTGGCCAACTGCCACCACTACTAGACTGAAAAAAGGACCTGAAGGACCCCAACACACCATTTTGTTTTGTTTTGTTTTATATTTGAAGGTCAATAAATAGAGATTTATTGCCTTATTTAATTTATATGTCACAGAGTGAGTGTTCAGTTGTTTTTCACAATCAATGTGCTGCTAAAACATATACATATATGCATATATATATATACATATATATATACATATACATATATATATATATACACACATATATATACACATATATATACATATATATATATATATATACACATATATATATATATATATATATATATATATATATATATATATATATATATATACATATATACATATATATATACATATATATATATATACATATATACATATACATATATATACATATATATATATATATATATACATATATATATATATATATACATATATACATATACATATATACATATATATATATATACATATATATATATATACATACATATATATATATATATATATATGTATATATATATATATATATACATATATATATATATATACATACATATATATATATATATACATATATATATACATATATATATACATATATATATACATATATACATACATATATATATACATATATATATACATATATACATATATATATATATATATATACATATATATATATATATATACATATATACATATATATATATATACATATATACATATATATATATATACATATATACATATATACATATATACATATATACATATATATACATATATATATATATATACATACATATACATACATATATATATATATATATATATATATATATATATATATATATATATATATATATATATATATATATATATCAGCCTTAATAATCTGCTTTAGATATCAGCCATCTGCAACTAAATTCTTTAAAAATCAGTATCTGCCTTAAAAAACCAGATCGGTTGGCCTCTAGTTTCTACTTGTTTACAGTAACAGCAGGAGATGCCTGGTCCGAATAACAAGTTAATTAAACCCTGACATAAATATGTGACTAACAACATCCCAGGCTGAACTCCACGCAAGAATAGCAGCAGAGGTTGAGGTATTGCTCCAGGCAGGTGTCTCTGTGCCATTTATGGAGGACCTGCTGCTCTTCAGCTGATTATCGTTGCACTTCCAGTTGCATGTTTGTGATGTGAAGTCTCGCCATGTGCGAGTCAGTTGCATGACTGAGGATTGAACGTCTGTGTCACTGCAGTGGCAAATTTTACACAATTACTCCACAATTCCCTGCAGGAATCCATTTGACTTAGGATGAATATTAGAATCACATTTGAGGATTGCTGCTAGTCCTTGGTAAAAAATAATTCTTAAAATTAATTTAACAAAAGAACACTGTCTAAAGGGCAGTATATTATATCATATAATTTGGGTCAAGTCGTTCTCAGCCAGCAGCTCTCATTAATACTATTATTATGTCTCACTTCTACTACTGTGATTTTCTTCTCTGAATGAAACCAATTAATCTATAATCTTCAATTTGTCCAGAATTCAGCAGCTCAGATCACCATCACACGTCTTGTCCATGCAGAGCTTCCGTAGTTCAGTTACATTCATAGCTGCTAGCCAAAACTGTGGAGTGGAAGTCTCTTACAGTTTTCTAGCTTTGCTAAAATATCTGTCTTTGATTTATGGCAGTTTTTACTTTTGATTAGACTCAAAATGTAATAATTTGGCATGTTCCTAACTCGTAATTTGCAAGAATGTAATCAGCAATATTAGCATTCGCATCCCTATGGGTTTTTCAATATATATTAGCATTGTGCTAACCGCTCGCTGCCAGTCAAATCGCAGCCTTTGCGAATAGAAAATCTTTTTGTCACCTTGCAATTTAATTGCATATGCAGGGGCGTCGGACTGGGGGGGAAAGGGTACCGTTTACCCAGGGCCCACTGCAGGGAGGGGCCCTGAGACAGCTTTGAATAAAAATGTTTTATTGTTGTTTTTTTTTCCCCCAACTTACTTAAAGAGCAAGTCACCCCTTACAAGAAGCGTACCTCACTCCCACTTCATGTTTGAAAAATGCAACAAATGCTGTTGCCTAGCAGACCAAGAGGGTGGAGCCACTAACAAATACACACACTCACGACATTGTGACATCATAGTGTACCAGTTTACATCATAGCATACCTCTTAGCCAATAGCGGTGGCAGATTTAAATTCAAATCCAGTGAAGAGTTTTTACCTGACAACGGCACAACACTGACAGTTTCAGGCAGAAATTTTAAATTTTAACTAAAATGCACTAAAGTGCTAAACTATTGACTACACGTGTATGCAGCACGATTAGACACGCATTTATATAGTTTATCAGAAAAAAATAGTTGATTTGGGGGTGACTTGCTCTTTAATGTCTTAATAAACTTCCCTTTACCTGGATAAAGAGGTTAAGAAACAGAATTTCGTCTTAAAAATAATAACTGAATAATATCTGAGGCATCTATCACCCCTTAAAAATGTGCAAAGTGGTTTAGTCCACACCAGCGGCCAGGGGCTGCACGGCTGCATGTACAGCTAATGAGACATCGCAGATGCCGACAGCCAGAGCTGGAGGCAGGAGAGTCAGTCATGTCTTTTCCCAAGAAAGGGAAATCTGGCTTCCAGAAAAGAAAAGAAAAAAAGGAGAAGGAGAAAAAGTTAATTGAACAGAAGCAAGTATTGACTAGGTTTTTCAAGAAGGAAGGTTAGCAGCAGCAGAACACAGTTTTAGCTGATATTAGCTAGCTCTCAGAAGCTGCATTCATGTTAGGTGTTCAGTGTTAAACGCCTTTACTTTCACCATCAAGATCAAATATAAATTAATTAGTGTTGTCAGTGATAACACTAATTAATATATATATATTAATCAGAATTATTATCGCGGGCGGCCGCCGCCAATTAATTCGCGGACCTCGCAGTAAAAACAGGTTCACTCTGTGTGGATATTTCAGCTCCTTCCCAGTCATGGACCAGGACAAACTTGGTATCGATGGATTCATGGTAATCTCAGGAATGTGAAGCTGCCACTGTTTTTCGTATAGCATGATGACACTGGTGTTAGAGGATTGTTATTGACTTGGTTAGATATTTTAAGCCTATTTTAAATTTCTTTATATTTGATCTTGAAAACGGACAATCTTATAATTTGGCTGATAATGCAGGGATTATAAAATTTAGAGTACATTACATTCACAGAGAGAACCTGGTTTATTTCATGTCATATGCATTTAATATATCAATACATATCAGTATTAGCAAAGCTTAACATCGTGAACCATGACAGACATGACTGAAGAGCAGATGAAGATATCATGCCAGGCACTGATGAGAAAATATTACAAGGATCTCGCAGCTGAATTTGAGAATGAGATGCTACACCTGAGAACAATATATGGTGCCACATTTCCACACATTCGGTCTCCTCTTGAGCTGCTTAATGCCATACAGGATGCAATTACAGAGCATTTTTGGAGAAGTTTGTATTGGACTGCGGATTTTTTGCACACTACCTGTGACTGTTGCTGGGGGTGAACGGGCTTTTAGCAAACTGAAACTGGTGAAAAATTATTTGAGATCAACAATGTCCCAGGATAGACTGAACAGCCTAGCTCTTCTTTCTATTGAAAGCCAATTAGCCAAAGGATTGGACTTTAAAGATCTCATAAGTGATTTTGCTAACATGAAGACCCGTCAGTGGGCATTTACTGGAAAATAAATTCCAGGATTTGTGAAGTCTGGGCATTTCACTTTTATTATGCTGGCATTTGTATTTGCTCAATATAGAGGTTAAACTAAGATCATATTTATTATCTTGTCTTATAGCATGACAAAAAATGTGTAAGAGAGGTATTAAGTAATTGAGCATGGGGGCCCACCTAGAAGACTTGTACCTAGGGCCCAGAATTTGGTGCTACGCCCCTGTGCATATGCAATTAATCATTCAGCCCTAGTTAGCTTCTACTAGGCTGACACGTTCTCCGCTGTTTCCTGGATGCTAAAACAATAGCCTTCCTTGTCCGATTCAAGATGGGCGAGTCCATGAACTTTAAGTGACAGTGTGACGTAGATCTGTCAGGATTTTAAAATCCTACAGTGTCGCTGTCTATTTTCTATCAGAAGCTAATGCAGGAGATGAGGTGTAGGAGACTATTTTCATGTTCAGCCTGCATGAAAAACTCAGTGACTGATTATAATCTGAAATTATTTTTAAATTTGTTTTTTTTCAGTGAACACCTTTAAAGAGCCTTCAACTGAGCTGCTTCCCATCCCAGAAACCCTACCCATCCTGGGTTGTTTCATTTAAGACAGAAATCAAAACTCACCTGATTAGACTAGACTGTCTAATACTTTCTCATATGTCGCTGACAAAGTTTTAGATTTATTTTTGTCTTATCTGCTGTCTATTTTACTGAATCTTTCATTAATGGTTGTTTTGACTTTAGCATTAGCTTGTGTCTTTTCAGTGTTTTATTATTTTTTATATGGGTCATCTGTCTTTTTTTCTTCTTCTGTGACAAAATATTAGTAAACTACAAATAGAAGTATCGATCGCAGCTCAGACGTTTGTGTCGGTAAACTGGAGTTGAGTGTTTCGTTTCCAACTATTAGAGCACGGATGTTTAGATAAGCCGTGCCTTAAGTGTTAGATTTAGATAAACCGCATCAAATCGCGACGCTCTAAAAACAACAAATAAACATTTCAAAATTTAAATGACGTGCATAGCAGTCGTCTGTAGTTTCTTTTTATCTCACAATTAGCATGTCAACAGTGGAAATATCGACTCAGTTTCACTTCTTCATTTAATGAAGTTTTAACTTACTATCTGAACAACAGACAACATCTATTAAATGCGTCATGTCCGCAAATGCCCAATAAACTCTTAATAAACATACTAGTTCTCCGTGATGCGGAACTTTGATTTAATCCATTTCGACACTTTCGCCAACCGTTAGAAATGAGCTAGCTAGCACCGCACAGACAGTAGGCAGGTCACAAGACAACACAGTTAAATGTCAATTTAGAATTCCTCTTACACTTTTTACCCACCGACCTTCAAAGTCAACCTCCTTGTCTCAAACTGAATGCTGTGCTGCAAAGCGACGAAATAAAATGAAAGTTGCACTTCTTTCTGGAGAACTGGTAGCGGCTGGATGCTAAAATGCGAACAACGCGGAAATGGTTTTTTTTAACCCAAACCTTTATTTAAACAGAACAATTGTTTTGACACAAAACAGGAAAGCCAAGGAGAGTAAAAAAGGACATAATCCTGAAAAAGCATTGCGGGAATGGGTAGTTGGTGAAAATTAGACGTGAATTGATTAAACCAGTGTGTGTGTGTTACACTGTAAAGCGCTTTGGAGTCATCGGACTCTGAAAGGCGCTTTACAAGTGCGGGTCATTTATCATTTAAACGTTTAACCAAAATATGATCAGAAAGCCTTCAGCCTTTAAATTTGCATGATCAGCCTTTTTCCCACCAGGACCGTTTTTTATTTGAGGAGGAATGCTCCCAACAAATGCATTATATTAAAATATCAGTGAAGCACTTCCCAGTAGTCCTAACCTACATTTTAAAGCTGTGAAAAAGCCCTAAACGAGACAGAAAAGCACCATAAAATTCCCAAAGATAAAATCATTTTAAATTGCTAAAAAATATCCATTTGATCAGTGCATGTGAAAATGACAATAAATAAAACCAAACGCACACATCTGTAGGAGGCAACTTAATCCCCCCCCCCCCCCCATAAGGAAAGTAGCTAAAATTACATTCAAGATTAAATAAAAATACTACAGATCAAAATTCTGCAAAAAGTAATAACCCATTTTCTAGACTGCCATGGATAAATTAAGGGTTTGTTGAAACAACAAAGGAACAAAGACAAGCAAACGTATCTTTAAAACATTTATTCTTGTAATAATTTGTCCATTTTATCCTTTTTGCATAAGTGCAAAAAATGCACCCAAAACAGCCACCTGAGGGAAGTCTACATCTTTAAATAAAAAACAAGCATTGTACATTAGTACAAAATTCTCTTTTTAAAAAATTGCACAGTTTGTGTATAATATATATAATTATATATATTCATATCTCCATTTTAAACAAACTTTAAAGGCTCAGAAAGTAAACAAAATTTCACCAAATGAAAAATAAAAACATTTTCCTAGATTTTAAAGCTGAGGAAACTTGAGACCCTGTTCTTTTTTTTTTTTTTTTTTTGTAGCCACCATAAATATACATATTCAAATGCAAATCTCTTTACATATATATCTGTGCTAGTGTTTCACCAGACAATCAAAATTATTGCAAAGTTGTTTAGTTCTATAAAACACAGGTGTGGAGGAGGTGGGGGATAAAAGCTTCTTTCTGCTGAATAATCTTTAATTTATGCAAAGAAAAACATTTTTAAACGTCTTTAAAATTCACTGGAATCCCCGTTTCCACAAAAGGCTTCAGTTTCACAAACTTGTGTTCATTCAACATTCCTAACAAACAATTCAGAATTCCAGTTTTGCCTTTAAGCATGAACACTCTTTTCCCTGACTTTTTTTGTTTGTTTGTTTGTTTCTTAACTTTACACAACGGGCACCACCCTGTGGTTGTGGTCAGCGTCGATAGGGGTGGAAGCCCTGTACATTGTGGTTCTGCCCTCGGCCAAACGCACTTGCGGCGGGTTGGGGAGCGGCGGCAGGCTGTGCTGTTGGGGCCCCATACGAGACAGCTGGCTGGCTGGGATCTGTGAAGCTATGACCAAAGGCTGTCAGGTCCTGACCATAACCTTTAACAGATGATAGTAAAAAAGGAAGAATGCAGAGATGTTATTGTCTTAGTGAAGTCTGTGAATCTAAAAGTGTTAAATAGGAGTTTTAGAGGAAAGAAAATCATTACTGCACACTACACAAATACACCGGACACCCTGCATTACCCACATGTTTTATAAAGGCCCTAACTTTTATAAGGTATTATGAATCAGATTTGTTTAAATGCATCTTGTTTCTTACCAGGTCTTAAAATTCAGTGAAATACATTCTTTCAAAATAAATGAGTTGCCACAAAAACTAAGATATACATAACCACTTAAGTTTCTTGGATATTTGACAGCCTTACTTTACAACTTAGGTTCAATTTTTAACCTTTTCCCATTTCAAGACTCTTTATAGCCTCATTACAGCATTAGAATGGGAATAGATGTGGATTGTGACAACATCTTGATTATAAATATTGGGGGGGGGGGGGGGGGGGGGGGCATTTTGTTGTAATTTCTTGCCTTGTCTCAGATCATTGTCCAGCTGAGTGATCAACTTTCAGCCAAGCTTCAGCTGCTCTACAAATGTCCCCACAGCTGACTTGGTGACCGTGAAACAACACCACATCACCACCCTTCCACCACCGTGCTTAATAGTTGTCAGAGATGTTTCTGCCAACATGTGTTTGGTTTTCACCAAATGTGACACTGCAGTACAGCCAAACACCACCATTTTGATGAATGCCAAAATCATGGTGTGGTTTATCATTTATCTAATTTTAAGACTTGGCAAGGCGATACATGCATAATTATTAAATCCTAATTCAAAAAGGGTTGCTTAATTCAGTAAAAAACAAGTTTTACATTACAATTTTTGTTCAAGATTGACCAAGAAATAGATTTCTCTCCTAAATATTTCACATTATTAGAAATGATTAAATAACAAGACCAACTTTAATCGAAAAGGGATTTATAGACAGGTTTGTAATCAGCCGTTTCAAAAGTTTTTCAAAATGATCCAATTATTTTTATTTAGACACTGGATGGCAGCATCTCCCTGTAAACACGAGGGATACGCAGGACCTACCAGGGACGGAAACAAAACTGCCTGAACAAAAATGCAGGCCGCTGTCCAAACCAAAGGATATTTTACATAAAAACAACTGATGACTTTGCTTCCAAATTGTTGACCAAATCGTCGCACAGTTTACGATAACCCAGTATGTTCTGGCCCTGGTAAAATCCAGTGAAAGCTAAAGTGAAGGTATTAATGTTTTCAACAATAAAATAAAAAACGAGAGATAAAGGAGGCTGATTTAGAAAGAGTTGCATACAAAATGGAGTGCAAAATCCAAAAAAGAAAACAGAACTAAACCAGGTAAATTCACACATTTGTATAAAATATCCCCAAGAACAAGAGACGGGCCCAACAAGACCACCAGAGAAGAATCAGGATCGTGATCTCCTTCAAATTTTCTTTCCTTTTCCACCCCTTTGGCTATAACTGGAGACAACACATGAGGACAACAGTGGGTGAAAAGACCGCTGATGCAGACACAACTGAACCATGAACAAAATTTCTGACAATTAGATCATCCTTTTATAAGTCAGCAAAGCAGTTCAATCAACAAATGTACAAACAAAAAAAAAAAAGAGGACATGATTCTTGGTAGAGTAAAGCCACAGCCACAGGAGGAGGAGTCCTCCTTTCTATGGAAATGTCTTTCAAATCGACATATTTGTGATGTTAAGGATAGCTGGGCTCCACTACACAAGAAAACACAAAGTAATTTGTATGTACATGCAAAATGTACATGCAAAGTACTAGACACAGAGCAAAAGGGGAAAAAAGGCGAAGCATCAGGTTGCAGCTCTATTAAAACTGAATTAACAAATGCCTTTTTTGTGGTTGGAGAAAACAATTCTGGCACCTACCTGCACTATATCCTCCCTGCTCATCCTGACCATAACTGTGAGAAGGACGCGTTGGTCCGTAGGCAGAGGGGTCCTGAGGGTAGTTACCCAAGCCTATCAGGGAAATGAGGAGACCAGGTTGACTGAACCCAGATTGTGCTGGCTGGCTACTGATTAATCCTCTAACTTATTGACATAATTCTACATTTATACTTATTTATGTCACTCAGTAAGGCATAAATTTTCAGAGTCATTGGGAAATAAATATGATTGTGAAGATGAGTTATTTGTCAGAACGCCTGACGTTGTTTTTCAATCATGCCAGCCTGGTCTCAGAATTCTCCATTACATGCTAAATGAGCAAGAATGGGAAAATAATGTTTGACTGTTTAAAAAAAAAAAGACTAACAACAGAAAACAACTAAAGACAGAAATAGGCACCAGTGGTTTTGTATGGGGTCATTTTGATATATATATATATGTTTTACGACTGGTTTCTCATCACACTACCAGACATGTTACTTTACTTTCTGTGGTAGAATACTTTGCCAGATTTACTATGACAGTTAATATTTTGTTCAGTTTTCTAATTATTTTTTGTCTTGCTTGAGACACTGTGTCTCATATTGGTTCACCCTGTAACCGGAGGGTGGCCGGTTCAAATCCAGGTTTTGTCTGTATAGCTCATGTCATCGGGCAAGACATTTCACTCTCCTTGCCTGCTGGTGGCGGGCACAGCAACCAGTGGCACCTATGTACGACAGCCTCACTTCCATCAGTGCGCTTCAGGACAGCTGTGGCTACATTGCAGCTCATCACCAGCAGTGTGTGAATGTGCGAATGACTATGGTGTAAAGCGGTTTAGAGTACGCTGACAGAAAAAGCACAACACAGGTGCATAGAAATGGGCAATATACCAAAAATGTATCGATACCAAAGTTTAACGTCCATTACAGATGTCATTTTGCCCACGTCAACATATTAGAGGTTTGAAAAACGTGAAAATATGCATGTAGGTTGCCAAAGTTCATTTGAGCTGCTGTACTACCAACTGGTCTGTAAACAAGAAGGGAAAGAAAGTGAGGAAATGGAGGATGATTCAATTTTTGAAGTAGTGGACGGGGGCGGCGGTCAGCAGCAGTGACTAAATCCAAAATGCTGCCTATCAGCTGTTGAAGGATTTTTGTGATGACAAGCTTCTCCTCCACTAAATCTACCACTGCTACCGTTCTCTCCAACTGCCGTTGTACATGTAGTTATGGTCAATTTATCATTATGGAGGTGAACTGCTCAATGTATTGTGGTATTGATTTGAGGCCATATTGCCCAGCCCTACTAACTCAGAATGCTGCTGCTAAAATCTTAATAAAAACCAAGAGATCCGAGCACATCACTCCTGTTCTTAAATCTCTACACTGGTTACCAGTTAAATACAGAACCAATTTCAAAGGGCTTCAACTAGTTTATAAAATCACACAATGGCATGGGGCCAGAATACATGTTGGATCTCCTTCATGTAGATACGCCCAGCAGGGCGGGTCAGAATCAAACTGGGTGAAGCTGCTTTTAGCTACTATGCTGCACACAGATGGAATCAGCTTCCTCACGACCTCAGATGTGTCCCAACTCTGGTAACTTTTAAATCAAAAATTAAAAACTTACATATACTCATCTTACATCTAGTTTTATTTGTGTATTTCAAATTTGATTTTAAAATCTGCCATTTTAACTTTTGATCCTCCTGGAAAGCTCACTAAATTGCTACTGTGTATGACATGTGCTATGCAAATAAAGCTATCTTGCCTTACATTGAAAAATGTGCATTCAGAAATTAAAAGTTTTAAATTTAACAAACTACAGGTGGTGTTTTCTGTTTAACAAGGCTTTTTTATGCACTGAGATGCAGATATAAATGGCTCTGAATTGATTTTAAATTGTTGAAAATCAATTTTATCAATGGTTATTGATAAAATGTTGAGAAGCCAAATGGCAGAACTCTAAAGAGAATAAGTTCATATGGAGCACATACAGAGAAGTTCTGCCTCTGTACAATAGAAATGGAGTAGGACTCATGACTGAAGAAATAATGCACCATATTGATAACATTAAAACACAAAGGACAGCTGAGATACTGACCTTGTGCCAACAAGTACAAGTCTCTCACTTGGTGTAACGCTCCCTTTTCTCTGTGCCTCTAATTTAGTGAATAGAGCCATTAACACTCAAACACACCATCTGTCCATCACCTGCAAAGGCTGGTCTCAGTGCAACTTTCACAACTGCTTCCAACAACTCTGTGTTTTCTCCTCAGGTCAGTTTGAAGTCAACAACCTTTTTTGCATGAATGCTGGGATTCAAGGGTCAAATTATTTTTTGTGATTGTTAAGCCATCATTATATTTAAACCCTCTCAGTGGCCTGGAATGAACGAGAGACCAATTCTGCTTGGAGGATTCAGCATACAAAACCACTGGCTTAAGGCTAAATAAAACTAAATAAATTGAAAATATCAGAGTAATTATGAGCTAAACATGGCCTGAACTAAAACTATACAAATATTTTCAGCTCTTCTCATGGCTTTTCTTGGCTTTGCATCAGTAACACATTTGACTAAATCTTTATGAGGCTGTTTAGTTTTTGCTACCAACTAAAAACCAGATTTAAAGCTCGACAAGAAGCAGGCATTAAGCAAAAAGCTGGATGGACGATCAGCACAAGCCGGAAACACTGAACAAGATGGGCACCTTCTTGTGGGGAGAAAAAAGTTTCAAAAGAACTGTGTGTGTATCTAAATTTGTGTGTGTGTGTGTCTATATTTGTGTGTGCTTAACTCTTGATTTGTAATTTGTGTTTACATTTTCGTGTGTAACTTCAGCTCCTACACATAGAAATCATTGAATACACACACGCACACACACAAATCACCTGGCAAACACGGACAAAACTACATCACACACAGATCAGTTTACAAGAACAAAAATCCTTTTGAGACTAGTATTTTCACACCTGACTGATTTGTGCGTACATGATGCGTTTGAATGCTGGGTGGAAGCTGGGACATTTGAATTTCCTTTGGATTTAGTCTAAACTTGTGTTAGTGGGACAAATATGTTTTTCTGTGGAAAAATATAATATCTCAGGATCCTGTAGTTATAAAAGATAGACCAACATTTAATTTTTAATCATCTAAAATTGTTTATTTAGACATATGTGTTTGTGAGCCACGAAAACATAGTGAAAGGGTTATAAGAAATGACTAATACATGGCAGAGTAATTCTCTGACTGGAAAAGCAGGCTTCAAAAGGGTTAAGGCACGAGAAGATGGTATGGAGTCATAGGGCGCCTAAGTCACACCCATCTACTTTTGGACCACGGAAGAATGAAAAAATGAATGCAAGCCAATGGTGCTAAAATGTTCTTTTCTGGTTCCTCTTGTTATGTGCCATGGATTTCACATATGATGTCCGTGAATTTTAAAGACACATTTTGATGCTTGGAACTCGCTTATTTTCGAACGGGGGGAAACGCTACTTTAGGTTTAATGTGAAAATAAGTCCAGGAGTACAAATGCGCTTCACGAAAGTGATGCCATCAAACCAGAAACAGAGAAAAACAGAGGGAAAATGGCTGTAAGTTCAGCGAACTTCAAATCCTTCCTTCAGGAGGAAAGAACCACCATTAATCTGTGACTGGCGTAGTTGAAATACCCATCATTAGTTTTAATTTTTCATTATTGTGCACACACATAAACTGGCCGAAGAGTCACTTCCTTGTCTGGGGACAGTGTGTCAATCTTTCAGACCTATAAAACATCTTAAATGGTCTAAAATAATAGCGGTCTCATAACCTGACTGCAAAGCATGCTGAATTTACTTTTACTTACTTCAGAGGAAAGATCACCTGAGGCCTCATTTATCAAGCTTGCTTACGCACAAAATGGGGTCGGAAAATTGCGTAAGCAACTTTCCAAGTAAACTTTGGGATTTATGAAAGAAAACTTAGCAGAAAAATGTGCGCAACTTTAAGCTGACTAAGGACCTGGCTAACGCACATTTCGGACATGGAGAGCACCTGCAGTTCTGCTGCTGAGAAGGATAAAATTATGAAATCCTGCAGCATTATCACTTGTACTGCTTCGTTTTCACACAGAAAATGACCCCCCACGCACGCACGCACGCACACGCGCACACGCACACGCACACACACACACACACACACACACTCTGAAGCGCAGAAAACGGAATGCAGCAGCATATCAGCAGGGGGACAGATTGAAACAGAATGTCATGAGTCTGTGACAGTGTAAGCGTCCTATCACTGTAACCCAATTGATCACGAGCCCTGGCTAGTTGAACAGGGGAGATCTCTGTTTGGCTGATTGGTTAGCGTGTGTGACTTTCACCTGGGAGTCTAGGGATCGAATCCCGATTGGACCATTTTTTTATATCCGCCACAGATCTCTCTGAAGAATTCACAACATTGACGGCTTCAGCAACGCTGTGCCACTCCGTGGATTTTCTCTTATTTGTTTTGCAAAAGTACTTCCTTTCATTTCTCCACCTCACCCACAAGTACCTCAATTTCTGCTTCTGTGAAATAGCGCTTCCTTGATCTGCCTTGATCTACGGTCGCCATCGTGATTGGCAGAGCGCGCAATAGCCGGCTTATGTATATGCATGAGATCCACAAGGCACTTTGCATTTAGGGATGCAACGATACCACTTTTTTCCAAACCGATACTTGGATCTGAGTACTCGCCGATACCCATTACCGATACAGATACTTGTGCCACATAAACAAAAAGCAATGAATTGGAATACAGGTTTTATTTTCTTCTGTTTTCAATAGGAAAAGACTGTGATGTTGATAAAAAGTAATATAAGTGATCACAAAACTAAAATATTAGGTGAACAGAAATGACAAGTTACAGTGAAGTCACTTTCAAGCAACTGCATTGGTATCAGTTACTGGTATCTGTTAACTTTTACCGATACCGATACTGGTATCAGTATCTGTATTGGCACCGATACCGATACCAGTATTGTATCGGTGCATCCCTATTTGCATTGACTATTTATAGCAGTACGTGGGCGAAGTGAGGGCGGGATGTGACTAAAATGCAGCTGAGAAATATTCTCGTTAGTCTCCGATTTATGAAGCGGAGATTGCGTGCAGCTGTACGTACTCCATGTTTGATAGATCACAAACCTACTTGACGTAAGTACATTTTTTTCCTGAGCTTAAGTACGGTTTTAGTAAGGATTCTACCAATGTTTGATAAATGAGACCCCAGGACGTTGCACCGGTTTGAAGCCTGCTTTTTCCAGTCAGATAATTACTCTGCCATTTATTAGTCATTTCTTTGAAACCTTTGACTATGTTTTCATGGCTCACAAACACATATGTCTAAATAAACAGATTTAGATGATTAAACATTAAATGTAGGTTTATCTTTTATAACTACAGGATCGAGAGATACTCTATTTTTCCACAGAAAAACATATTTGTCCCATCAACACAAATTTAGACTAATTCCAAAGGAAATTTAATTTTCCCAGCTTCCACCCAGCATTCAAATGCACCATGCACGCACAAATCAGTCAGGTGAGAAAATGGTCTCAAAAGGATTGTTGTACATGTGAATTGATCTGTGTGTAATGTAGTTTTGTCCGTGTTTACCACGTGATTTGTGTGTGTGTGTGTATTCAATGATTTCTTTGTGTAGAAGCTCAAGTTACACACGAAAATGTAAACAAGTTACAAATCAAGAGTTACACACACACACACACACACACATCTTTAGTTACATACACACAAATTTAGATACACATGCACAAATCTAGACACACACGCACAGATCTTTTGAAACTTTTTCTCCCCATACCTTCTGGCTTACCACATGTTTTAATTGTAGTCAGTCTGAAGCAGCTAAAGCTACGTTAGAATAATAACAGCATCCAGAAAACTGATGCTTTCAAAAGATAATATCAGAACTGGCTGGGTTTATGTGACTGACTGACTCAGTGTTGAATGAAGATGAACACTGTTCCTTTTCCATGGATGTGTTTCAAAATTCAAAACACAGCTTCACCTTGTACCATTTATACTGGTTAAGCAGCTTCATGACTTCTATGATTACTTGAATTTGAAGACACGTAGAGTACAATTGGGCAAAAAGTTACTAGCTTAGTTCCGTAACATAACAATCAATTATCTGACCCTACACTTGGTGTGTTATGTTAGACTAGAAGTCCAGATTAGTTACCAAAAAACATCTAACAAAACATAAATCAACAAAGCCGAGAAGCCAAACATTTTTGTTTTTCCAAAAAGACAGCTTCTTTAAAAAAATCTTTTAGAATTGCTTCGAAAGCTCGACATGCCAAATTTTATCGGAATATAAGTGTGATACTAGTGCTCTTTCAGTGATGTGACAAAGCTGGGGGGGGGCAGGAAAGTCACCAAGTGAGGACGAGGAGCAGGAAGTGTAGAGGGGATTAGTAAAAAAAAAGTAGGGATGAAGGAACCATTCAAACGTCTAGCACATTGAGTCAGGAAAAGAGCACACCGTTTTCAAAATAAAAATAAAATGCAAAACAAAAACATAAAAAATACATTGCAAGGCAGGATGATCTAATTAAAACCTACCAATCGTTTTAAATCAATCCACAACCTGTTAAGATGACTGCTGAGAACTCCTGGGTAAGGAGAAACTTAAACCGCATCTTCAATGTGGAACCAGTGGGACGTACAGTGGAGCAAAAAGTATTAGTCAGCCACAGATTATGCAAGTTGTTCCACTTCAAAAGATTAAAGAAGTCTGTAATTTTCACTATAAGATCACTTCAACTATGAGAGACAGGATGTTTAAAAATGCCAGTAAATCACAATGTATGATTTTTTTTAATTATTTGTTTATTGGAGCAGAAAATAATGGGTTGTCTACATGCTTCCTGTGTATTTGGCACTTTTGGCTAAAACTAGTCTCAACTAGCTTTGGTCAGTTTCCTTCACTGCCGAGACCTTGGGGCGAACTAATGCACCAGAAAGAAAGGGTGGCTGCCAGGACCGATTCAAAGCACGCTGTTGTTTTTTTATGTACGATGTTTTGAAACTTTTGAAGTATAAAAACGTCACGCTGACCATTACCAATATACTTTAACAAATAGTTATTATTCTAAATGTTTTCATGACTGATTCAATTCAAGTTTATTTATATAGTGCCAAATCACAACAACATGATGTTGATTTTGCCTACAGATGTGGCCTAGCAAACACCTCCATAGCTGCCAGTTTTTAGTTCAGACAGGCTCAGTGTCTACATGTTTCCATGGCAACACATGGAGTGTTTGTATGGAAAACAAATACTGCCAAATACCGTACCACATTTCCACCACACTAAAAAAAATAAAATTGATCAAAATTTTCCCATATCACTCTGCCCTACTGATAATACTTCTCAACTTGGGGCTCGATGTAAGATCTCACTTTTTGGGGTGCAAATGAGGAAACATCCCAAAACTACACGAGGAGAACTGGTCACTGACCTGCAGCACTTGAAACGCCCTCCCCCCCGCCCAAGCCAGCACAGATCTAGGCCTGTCTTAAGTTTGCCAAAGACCATCTGGATTATCCAAAGGAGGATTCGGAGAACGCTATGTAGTTATATAAGACCAAAACATAACTCTTTTTATAAACACCACTCATCGAGTTTGAAGGGGGGCAGAATGCTGAGTTGCACCCCAAGAACACCACACCCACTGTAAAGCATGGGGGTGGAAACATTATGCTTTGGTGCAGTTTTTCTGCAAAGGGGACAGAACAACTGATTCATATTAAGGAAAGGTTGCATGGGGCTATGTATAATGAGCTTTTGGGCCATAACGTCCTTCCATCCATGAGCGTGTTGAAGATGATACATGGCTTGATCTTCCAACATGACAATGCTCCCAAAAACCCACAAGAAACATTTGATCCTCTGATATTGCCAACCAACATTACATTACAAAGTACTGAGGTAAACGTTTGCTAATGACCAAATACAGATTTTCTGCATCATTAAACAAATATATTTTTTTTTAAATCATAAAATGTGATTTCCTGGATTTTCTACATGCTGTCTCTCAGTTGTGTACCTATGATACAAATTAAAGACCTTCCTCATCTTTTTAAGTTGCACAATCGGTGGCTGCCAAATACATTTGTCCCACTGTATGTATGCAAAAAGCACGTTTGGATGTAAATGGCACCAAGAGCAAGCTCCTGTGTGCAACAGAGATGTGGTCATGAACTCAAATGAGTTGTAGTTGCCCCCAATAGATAATCCAGAGAGGTGGACAGGATCGAGGGGATGAATATAAAACCAAATGGGACAGAAAACAGGCAGCACACTTCTTTATGCACAATGCTTTCCTTACCATACTGGCTATATGGAAAGTCAGGCTGCCCAGTGGGCGCTTTGCTCAAATCCTGAGTTGGTGTGGTGGCAGGGGCAAAGCCCAGCGGTGCAGTTCCTGGAGTGGTGGGTGGAGGAGGAACTTGTGGAGCATACTGGTCTGCATGGGGTGTGCCAAAACTGTAACCTGTTGGAGAGTAATCAGATCATTTTCCACCACAGCACCCTAATGATTTTTTTTCTTCATTGGTTTTCTTTTTTAATATGTGGTTTGATTTACAAAACCTTAGACCAGTTAAAACAAAAATACTATAAACCAACTTTGGTAACACGATTAACTTTACGGCATCTGCAAGTCAAGCTGTCTTTCTCTGATAAGAAGGGAAGGTTCCTCCCTTACCACAGCAACAGATGAAATGTCTTACAAATGTAATTAACACGTTTACACACAACTTAAAATGAAACCTGCTGAAGAGTTGACCATTTAAATGCCGTATTTCAGGACGTTTTTTAATCAGAGTATCTTAAAGAAACAAGACAACAATTTAAGGTTAGATTTTAGAAGAGACTTGCATGGGATCAACTGGAAGGGCAGCCATGTTGTCTAAATGGTGTAAAAATAAATTAGAAAATTTAAGTGGAACCTGAGAGTGAATTTGCAGGACTGACCAAACTGAGGTGCTGTGCTGTAGCCCTGCTGAGGGTAGCCCTGAGGTGCAGCAAAGCTGCCAACCGGAGTTGTGACCAGGAATGCGTTAAAGGGCGATGGAGGTTGCGTAGGGGTTCCTCGGCTAGCTGACAGCGGTGGTCCATACCCACCTGTACCAAAGGTAAATTAACACATTACTGACTTTAAAAAAAGAAAGTACACATGTACAGGGTATCTGCAGCTTTAAGGGAACCAAATTAAAGAATTTCTAAGACCTTTTTAAGGCCACTTTGATCACATTTAAGCTATTTTTTCTAATTAAATTTAGGCTATAATTTCCAGCTATTGCCTGATTAGCCATCCAGTTACTATTAAACTTGCAATTCCCCATGGCGCAAGCTCCCACTAGCAAATGTCCTCATCTAAAAATAGCCCCCTTTCACAACCAACTGAATGTGTGCGGTTCCGCTTACGCCAACATCATTCACAAAAAATGCTGAACACTAACTAGAAATTCACGAAAATTTTATAGAAATAAAAGAATCTTGTTTATTGGGTCTTTGGTCATTTAAGACCTTTGGAAACTGTATTTAAGGATTATTTGTCATTTTTAAGGCCTTAAATTTGGAAAAGCTAATTTAATACTTTTTAAGGACCCACGGATACCCTGATGTAATACAAACAAGAGGTATCAGAACAAAGTTTTCCCACGTTTAGTTTAACATGTTTAACTAAACAGCAAACTCACAGATAAAAAGAAGGGATTACATTTTTTTAAAAACAAGAAGGTGCAGAAAAACATCTGAAAAACTATGTGTATATAATCTGGGCGAGCATGAAGCAGAATTCGTGCGAGTCCTGCAGGTTGACGTGGGGGTAGAGATATGAAGTCAAGCCTGACCAACAGCAGAGGGAGGCTGAAATCCATTCAAACTTGCCATCTGTCTAAAGCAGCAAATTATCAGCAGCCTCAGCCATTATGAAGAGATAACGTGCTGTGTTAACCGTCTTCAGCCTATTGCCTTTGCTTCTTACAAACTCATTTCTGTTACACAAGCATCTCAAGATAAGCTGATTCCATGGTAGAAGTAACAGTCACAAGAGACAGAAAGCTCAAGACACAGTATGGTGAGTGAAGACCTAATACCTACCTATGGGCTGACCAGTAGCTGATACCCACACTCCTTCAGGAATAAAAAAAAATAAAGTTTAGATGGGACAAAACTGCTCCATATGATATATTACTGACATGGTTGAATATCCACACAGACATGTCAAAGAAAGCCCTGTTAAGTTAATATTAAAGCAGAATGTTCAACATGTTTAACAGGTTACTTTCAAGGGTTTTCTTTGAAGGGTGAGCGTCTCCAGCTCTGCTCTGGGATTCATTCCCACTCACCCTGTGCCCCATAAGGCTGTTGCCAGCCTGGGGCCGGCTGTGCTGTCCAACCATTAGCTGCAGTCAAGATGCCCCTGGGTACCCACTGACCAGGGCCAAGCTGGCCAGGAGCTTTACTGTCACGAGGTTCAGCCTTCTTTGCTTCCACCTGGACAAAAGGACAAGGAGGGCACATTTGGCAATACCAGTAGTGGGCCAATAACCTAGACAGCCCTGTCCTACAACTGATGCTTAACCTTAATATTTTATGCGAATTCAAATTACTTAACTTTATGTAAATTTGATTATGTGGGGGAGTTATGTAAATTCTAATTATTGCACTGCTTAGAGCTGTAAGCTATGTGTCCCAGGTACTAAATGGTTAAAAAAGATTGATTATTGCTAATTATTTTTGCCAAGATATTTAAATCCTTTGGCCCAAGTTGGCTTCATTAAGTATGTTTAAAATGTACCTGAAAAACATAGATCTAAATGTATTTATGTATTATTAACAGGCCTATACAGCCTAATTACATTCTCATGTAAGGCCAAGACTTACCTTTCTCCAGCTAATGCTTAAAAATAATCAAATTTTATTTGGAATAAGTTTTAGATAGGCAATGGATGTAGAGGAAAACTGGTGTCTGAGTTCTAACAGCATATTGAGTACACATGCAGGTAACAAAAATGTTTTGTTTTTTTGTCAATATTAAACTGAATCTTCATACTGTGTCATAAATGAGAAAAATCGCTCATTTTAAAATTAATTCCACAATAGACGTTGAATTTTAGCCGCGTTTGCTTTTACTTACTGAAAACGCTCACCTGTATAAGCACGCTAAAATTGCCCATGAAGCAAATCTAAATTTGTTGCCCCATTAACGAAACTTCCCGATTGGTTACTGTGCGGAGTACTAGCAGATAACCAGAACAAAGAAACAGGTTGGGACAAAGGGGAGCCAACCAGAAATAGACTGAAGGGTTGAGTTATTGAGGTCACCTTGCAGGAGGAAAACGAATCGCAAATTCTTCTTTGCTTAAAGGTGTTACCACCTTCCCCAGCCTCCCGTCTTCCTTCTCTGTCGACCTAATTACATGCACGTTTCCAGCAGTGGCCTCGCTGCTGCCGGCTGCTACCTGAACACCTTCTCCCGTGGGCGCCGCAGCTACAAGTGATGGATACCATGACTTCGCCATGGTCCCCAACAGCAGAACTGGGATTTGTTTCACAGTTTGATGTGCTCCAATTTCTAATTTTGTAACTTATATCTCCCAGCCTCCCTCTAGTCCTAGCGTAAAGTAATGTCAAGTCAAGAACAATGGATCAAGTCAAGCCTTGATTCCTGCAGGAAACGAGGGCAAAGTCAAGGGGAGCAGGAACCACTGGAGAGCACACTGGCTGAGCTGAATATTTATCAGGTAATATTTGTAATGTGGCTAAGTATCTATTGCTATTCAACAAGCACGAACAGGTGAGAAACATTAATCTAGCTCAGCAGGATGGTTTGTTTTTGTTCTTCAGTTCATTAACAATTGAACTTCATAGTTTACAGACAAGTGCCTTAAACCTGCTACTGACCCTTTGCATGTGACGTCACGCAGTTCACGGAACCACCACCTTAGCCATTACAGACCGCAGAAAGACTGTTTACACATATTGAAACCACTGAAGTTAGTCAAAACAAGCCAGTTTGTGGCCTTTATTTAGTTGATTTTAAAGTAAAATGGTGACGTTTGCTGAACAGTTGGCTGCACTAACAGATGATGTCATAAACTCAACTCGTGTTTTTTAATAATTGACTGAAAATGAAAATGGGAATGAACCACAGCGATCAATCCAACGAACAGCAGCCCTTAATGTACTTTATTTGCAGCGAACACGTTTCACCCAGGTAAGATTAACATTCATTTATTTCATGAGGAAGACAGCGACTGACTGTGGTGGAGCTGAAATGATAAATATGGTGTGTTTATGTTACATATTTAGTATTGATAATCCTACATTTCACCTGTTTAATTCTACACAGAGAATTACCATTGCCCCATTGCTTCCCATAAGGAAGCATGGGGCTGGCTGGTCAGGCCAACATTTCAACATGGAGTACATTTATCCATTACAGTGAATTGTGAGATTATAATAACGTTGTTCCAAAGTAGGATTACGAGTGTGAAAATTACATTATTTAGCATGATGAGCATCTGAACCCGATGACCCTGCCAGTAACAAAAACTGATACTTTTTTTTTATTAAAAAATCTCCAGTGTAAAGTGAACGGTTTTTAATCATGTTATAAATCCAGTGGGATGAATTCTGGCAAAGTTAGCAACTTGTTTACATCGGTGAACAGCAGCAGGGGAAATGTAAGCTAATGCTCGTAAGCTAGCGAACACATAACCTTTGTAAATACCGCTCTGGGTGACCCCCATCGAAGTGTGCTAAAACTTCCCACAAGTGAAGGGAGCTTGAACTAGTAAAAACCACCTCAGTCGCCACTTTTCCTCTTCATTGAATACTCCCATAATTCACTGTTGCCCCACCTGGGTATTCTACTTCTTCGGATAGCTGCACTGGGCTTGAATTTGTTGAAGCCATGCTAAACATCACACAAAACAACAAGGACAACAAGAAACAATAATTTCAGGCTCCACTTTTCTCTTTGCTCAATACTCGTTTCGCTCGCCGTTTCCTTTTGCTGTCCGACATGGTGGACCCACATCCTCAGGTTACGTAGGTGCAAAGGGTCAAATGTAAGCTCTTAACACCACTAAAATATAAATCATATTCATAAAAAGACAACTAATATTAAAAATGTCAATGGAAGGAACTTTCAACTATTCATGGTTTACCAAATTACATGCAAATGTTTGTATGTAAAACAAACCATGTGAAGACATCTTGATGGAGTGGTTATACTGACTTGTTTCAACTTATCCACAACTTGCTCTCCCCTTTAATCACTCGCCAGCTCTGCTAAATCTATACTGAATCTTTTGGAAGAAAGAGGTCGTTGGCTTCTGATTTAGAGATGTTCATTTCCAGAGAGTTAGCAGAAATCTTTAGCAGATGTGAGTCAATATAAACAGATTAGTTTGACTGAGCTGAGGCAGCAGGTGGTTGTGTTTGCTCCAGATATTTGTGCACAACAAGGTGTGATAAAGTTCTAGAAGAGCGATCAAATAGAGCCCCCCATAAATGTACTTTTTATTCTGAATGAGAAGACTACCCGACTTTATCTGAAGTGACTTGGTGCAGTAAACCCCATCCATCTGGAGCGCCTGGTGAGCTAAGCAAACACTGAGAAGTGAGTGACATGCAAATGTCTCTGCAAATTGTGTTTCAGGCTTTTGTTTGTTATTTTGGAGAGCTGACAGACACAGTATGGAGATTCAACTGAGGTCACTGAGTAGAGATTTTTCAAAAAGGAAAAAGAAATATGTTGACATGTAAGTGACCTGCCAACAGAATATCAGAAAACCAAAAATAAACAGATTATTTGACCAATCCTTTAGGTGATCTGCACTGAGCAAAATTATGTTGAATTGAAATGTAAAATTCCTTTATTTCTGACTTGTTTGGGTACTTTTGTCCACATTTGAATCTGCTGAATTACTTTTTTGGTAAAATAGCTCAGACACCTCAAACACTCTAAAGGAGAGGTCATTTTAAACAAAGCCTTGGGCGACATCCAAATCTGCACGTGGAACAGATGCATCTAATTAACACTAATGCACCAATTATTACAGGATGTTAGAGGATGGACTTGTGCTTGTGATGCTGCTGCACCAGCCAATTAAAAATCTTAAGACAAAGACATTATCATGTCATATTACCTTTATCGCCCAAGCCTCTGTTTTGATCTTAAGGGTAAAATAAAACTACAACTACACACTTTTTTGCCCATGATGTCGTGAAAATGCATGTTGACAGCCTGGTCCACTGATTGTTCGGCCTCGAAAGTAATAAATCCAAAACCTATCCAACGACCAAGAGTGAATCAAGGTAGCAGGGGGTTGTGACAACACAAGATGAAGAACAGTATTGGGCTTCAGCAGATTGAGGATCCATCAAGACTGAGCAAGAGGCTCCTGGGGTTCGGATGACGTTGCAGACTTGCAACACAAGTCCAAGACTAATGCCTGGGGGATTGAAGGAAACTTTTCTCTTTACTGTGCAGAGAAATATCTGGTAAAATTAACAATTATAGACTGCTATAAAAACATGAAAGAAGACAGCCATGTGAAGTATTTGTTTTAAATTGAGAAATATCACATAAAATAGTCAAGTTTCCTCCTTTAGAAGAGACTGAACATTTAGGCGATTAATGAAAACATTACATTTAGTTACTTGATGCCGTTTCATCCAAACCCCACCTTGATCTGTCCCCTGATATATTGCTGTGGAGCGCACACTCTCAGCAGCCATTGTCAATGCATCACAAAAATATGGAGAAACACAAATGCCCATAGCTTTCTCCGAAGTTTGCTAAATTTAGAGTTTGATGTGCGACTTTGCCAGGATAGCCAACAATTAAAATATTGCTAACACAGGTAACACAAAGATATAGGCCATGGGTGTGACCCAGGGTGATTTTGCTCAAGACTTCATGAGGAATACACAAAGTGCATCAAAAGGAACGGTTTAAAAAATAACTTCTGGGCTGCGTTAACTGCTCTGTAAACTACTTCATCCAACATTTGAACAAACTTTTCCTCTGTAACAAGCTGCTGCGAGCTGCAGTGATCTACTTTCAATCTGATTATCTTTGGGCTGTGGCAGAACTGGGTTGAGTGAGCAGCTCCACTTGGGGACCTAACCTGAATCCAATTAAACGCCCTACGAGACAAGTATGGTTTGAGAGACCTCTAGTACCATGCCAAGTGTTCCCACGCCTTATGTTCTGCTGCCATTAATAACATCTGTCAATGAACCGTCCACAGCCTGGATTTCAAACGACACTGGCACCATTTAGATGTTTGAAATAACTTCACTCCACTTAGATGTCAACTGGAGGAAATGGTTACCAAAAAAAAAAAAAATCAAACATAGACCAGTAAAATGTGTTTAACATTTAGGCCTTTGATGAGTTTCAGTTATCAATCAAAATAAAATAATTGCTTCAGTGTAATTTAAAATAGATGAGCCTATCAAAAGTTAATTTTAATTGAAGTTTTGAGAGTTTAAATTATCTGACTCGTCAATTATCTGGCAAAATTTCCACTTTCGGCTGACATTTTTCAAAAAGTAATATTTATTGAAAGACCAAGTTCACAGAGGAACCAATGTTTTTAATTTTGAAATATGATCAGTTACTCTGAGGCTCACATGCAGGCTAAATGTGAAAGTAGTCTTCTTCCTCTATTTTCTACATTAGCATTCATCTTAGCTCGCAACGAGAGGAAGGCTGCTGTTCATTTAGCATCCAGAGGACAGCAAGGTGTGTCTTGGCTAGTAGAAGCTAACCGTTAGCATTAGCAGCTCCACAACAAGGGAGAACTCCTTCGGGCTGATGCGGTCAGTAGTACAGTTGGGTTGCTGTAAACCAATCAGAGGCGAGAAGTCTGAATATGAGGAAATAATTTAAAACCTGCCGTTTCTGCTCACCTTTGCTCTGGCTCATTTCTAGTTCCTGAAACAGGAGCACCAAAGCAGTTTTCCCTACAGGGATTAACGAACAAAGCCTTGACTTATACCAGAGACCACTGCGAATAAGTAGAAAAAACAAGTGAACAAAAACAAAATCCAACAAAAATCAACCTAAAAAACTCCTTAAGTAACTCATTTTTGTCTCTACTTATTTTTGGGCCATCCTTAAGCCCAGTAAAACAAGCCCTGTTGCACTTTATGTATGCCCCATTTATAAGCATATAAAACTGAATATTTTTGCATGTGGCCTGTACCTCTGTGCTGCCTGTCAATGCACAGTAACCTAAAGGAGAAAAGACAAATCTTAGGAGACACTGTTAATCACAAACCAGTCACAAGGAGAAAGAATAATAGAAAAGGGCTTACTTACAAAAGGACTTAACTTTCTACATACCAGAAAACATACTATGATATTTAACATACAAGCATTGGTTACTGCTAAGTCAAGTTAAATAAAACTTATTCCAATATTGAACAACGTACGGATTTAGTAATAGAAACTGTTACTTGTAAAGATTACATATTGTATGTTACTAGTGCAGAAGGTTGTCTAAATCTCTGATGACAAACTAATCTGGGTTTTTCCCAACAGAGGATGAATGGAGATTTGAAGAAGGAGCAGTGATCTAAGGTGTAGGGGGGCTGTGGCCATTCCATCAATGTAGGACAAATGCAGGTGAAACAGCTGTGGCTCACTGGGCAGCTTCTTATGGGTCAGGCCCGATTCCCATAGAGACCATTCATGCTAAAAGTGTCGACACATGTCAAAGGCTCATAATATATTTATGACTTAACTGGACAAATATAAAAGTCTGTCATCTCGAGAGTCAGGAATTGGGTTAAAGGAGCTACTGAGGCCCCAAAGAGCCTCTTAAAAGCATTGCATTGTTCTTATAGCAATCTTATATTCACCTTCTGCATTTTGGGTGTCAGGTAGCTTCTCTGAAGCACAACTCCCACCTAAGATACTGGGACTGCTCTCAATATGCCAGCTGCACAGTGTGATTAAATGCTGCGTTTTTGGAGCACCTATTTTCCTGCCATTCGTCTCCTTATCAGGTAATAGTTTCTTTCAGCTCCCAGAAAACTTTAAACGCCCTTACCAAATGCATAAATCAATCTCTTGCTACATTTTAGGTGGGATATTTAAGAAAAACTAATAAACACAATCCCACTTTTAAATATAATTGTGTTGTAGTTTTACATAGCTACAGACGCTCCAGCTTTAGCTAGAGCAGCAATACATTTACATTTACTTCTGTCACTAGAAGCATGTGTGAAAAAAGATTTTAATGGCAACTGCGCTAATGCAAAAGCCTTCTGAATGCTACATCGAAAACATGTAAAAGGATAAAGTTTGCAGAGTGTTCAACTATTTAGTTTTAACTATACTTTGTGCAATGAAACTTCTACTTGAGCTAATGTTTATGTAGCTCACGGTTACACAAATCCAGTAAAATCACAAGAACAGGTACTTTTTGTAAATAACATCTTTGATTTTTCCACCATTTCAGTTGTAAACTGGCCAGCATTCATTGACCCCCGATAGACATTTACAACTGTGAGTTTTCCTACTCTGTCTTAATTCATTCATTGCCAGTGACGACAAAAGTCATTTTAAATCCAACCGTTCACTGCCAATGATGACTAAGTTCTCATTTGCATTTTTTTTTTACTGTGTGGGCATCAGAACGAGCCCCCGCACCGTGAGAACAAACATCTCAGCTCTAAAGCCGATCTTCATCCACATACGTCACATGTCAGGTGATCAGGAAGCAGAAAATCCACGTGTTAGATCGTTTTGGGTCGCTGCAGTAAAAAAAAAAAGTGAGGAGCAAACCGGAAAAGCTTCTGCCGATCACAATTCTACAATGATTACGAAAGAACGGAAAAAGCTCGAAACGTGCAGCTTCATCCTGATGTAAGAGGTGAGTCTACTCTTTGTTTTGTTAGTTTTGGCGTTGACATCATCCTAGAGCGCAACATTCTGCGACTCTTGTAAAAACGCTGAAAAACGCTGGCAGCGAAGAGCTTTACTGATCAGGAAACAGCTGGCAGTGAATGAGTTAAGACCGATTTCTTTTTCTAATTCAAGTCGAGCAAATTTTTGAAACAAACACATTTCTGAAGGTCATTTCCCACAGGGCAAAACAAATCCCACAAAGTCCAAGAAACTATTACAATTTTTTTTTTAAAAAGAGCACGTGACAGAATGAAAATAATACTGAATTTCTTTCAACGTAATCGATGTAGTTGATGAAACAAAAGTGACACGATGTGAGGTTGAAACCTGATTTAAAGTCGTTTGCTGTATTTTGTGCATTTATGACGGAATTCCTGCCACAGTTGCAGTCGTCACACTAAATTGAACTGAAATGAATGGAATGGGCTTTTCCTCTTTGGGCCAGATTAGTTTGCCATAAGATTAAAGGTAGTAAAGGATGGGGAGGGAGAGGAGGGGGGAGAGAGGAAACCAAAAACCAGATCAGCTTTTACCTCGGGGCCTCTGCTTCTCTGCATCATAGATCATTACCACCTCTGTGACCTTGAACGGGACAAAGAAAAACAGTGGTTCGGTTTTGAAAACTGTCCTCTATTATCCAGTTCAACATTCTGTCCCAGTTTGGACAACCCCATTCCAGTATACCTTCATGCATAACTTAGCATCACTTTTTAAAGTAACATCCTTTAAACAGACAATCAGAACAGGTGTGTGCCAGTAATACTCACCACTCCGAATCTATTGAAATAGTCCCTGAGTTCAGGCTCGCCACAGTTATGGGGGATTCCACCTACAAATATCTTCTTTGATTTATTGCTATCACCTTTGCTGCCCTTCTGAAAAAAATAAATAAATAAATAAAAATAAAACAGGGAGTGTGTGGATTTCAGTGTCTATTAAAGGATTGCGCTACGAGAGGGCCAGTTAGCCATCATCTATTCAGACAGTACAGAAGAAATTTAGTTCTCCTCCTGCCCTGGGGTATAATTCTTAACATGTCATGTCAATGCAAACACTAGTCTCCACAGATCAGAGAACACGACTTCCTCCATTTACTCTAAACCACCGAGCATTTCGCCACTGCTGTGCACCACAATCAAACCATAAAGGCTAGAGGCTGCTTTAAAAAACTGATTTTAACAATTACATCTGCTGTTTTCCAACTAAATCATTTGCTACCAGATAGATGAGTGCCAGTAGCAAGAACAAAGGAGCTTTATTTATAAATGCTTCTGACACAGAGTGTGCTTACAGCCAAGTATGTGACTTATAAACCTGCTTTATTGACACAAAACAAGCAATAACTAAAAGGTACTGCTGTCCACAAGAACAACATTATTACAATAGATCTGCAGGGGTTTGTAATGTTGTTAGTTGACCCCCAAATTACCCAGATAGGAGGAAAGATTACTGCTGAGAGCAATTTTTTGGATCGTGAAATCTCAATCTCCTCAAAATCTTGTTTTCTAAGCCAAACCCTGAGGAGACACTTAATCAACAAACTTTAAATGAAACAGCAGAAGTAGGTTAATTTAAATTTAAAAATGCAACAAACATGCAGTAATGTCAACATTTAGCAGAGTGATCCAGGCTGATGCATCATCAGATGTTTTTAGTAAATGTGACCTTACTATGTGGCATTTCCAAAATAAACAGAAGTTGTACCAAAGAGCTGCTGATTTTGCTGCAGTCCCTTCAACACAAGTAAAGGTCATAAGAAATAATCAAGACATAAGATCTTCTGGGATTTATTAAAGCCTCCAAATAATTCCTAACTGGTCAAGAATGTTAAAATCCTATGAGTTAAGGGGGGACGCATCCAAGAGGAGAATAAAAACGGAACATTTAGTTCAAGGTCTTGTCATTGCCAATCAAAAATATATATTAAAAATGATTCAAACCACTGAAAGAGATGGGGATGGAGCTTTCCTCCAGCAAGTACATCTAACATAGCCTCCCGTGTACAAATCAGATTCCTCTTACCCAGCCCTCCTTGGTTCGAGACTTTTCAGGCTGCATTCCTCTGGGAGTGCATGGCTTCGGGTCAATCTAACAGCAGAGGAATAGAAAACGTTTCACATTATCCTCTAATGAAGGCACCTTCAAACGTTCTTCACCAAATCCATTACTGCATATTGGTTTGTCCCTGTTAATGGTGCATGCATATGGCGCTGATAGCGTTACAGACGTGGCATGTACGGATAGAAAACTATTGTTTGAAGGAATTGTTTTAGGAAAAGAAGCTGATTTTTCTTCTTTTGTCTTCATTTTCATACCACAACACAGGCAGATGACTTCAACTGATTTGAAAAGCTTGTTCTTTTGTTTAAAACACTTACATTTCTCCCATCAAGATTATGTGGCTTTGTTTCCAGCACCGTTCGTACACAATTGGGGTCTTTGAACTTAACAAAGCCGAAGCCTCGTGACTGATTTGTAGTTTTGTCCTTCATGATAACACAATCTACTACCTCGCCATACTGGGAGAAGTAGTTTCTCAGTGTTTCTGAGAAAAGAAAGAGAAGAAAAAACAGCAAAGCTTCATTAAGTCAAACACTTGACAACGCACGAGCCATGCAAATGCTAAATTGTAATCAAAGATTTGACTATGCTCAGCTTGCCTGTTTGTGCTTTCATTATGATAAATGAGTATGTAAAACACATGAAGCACTTCACTTCAGTCTGCTCTAAAACTGTAGCACGGGAAAAAAAGGGATATGTCAATAAATCTAAAGAACAATGTCACAAAATAACACAGTAAACAGAAATTCACCCGGTGACCTTGAACTCGTGTTCCTGCAGATTACCGGAGTTTGTACAATTTATGTGAAAACATTCAATTATTGAAAACGGCTGCATACAGAAACTCCCCAAGAGCAAACAAAGCCCAGACCTGCCGTCATATAACACAGCAGCAAACATACTACCGACCACGTAAATCCTGCACACACCCAGAGAACCAACTCAACTAAGGCAAGCAAGTTTGAACAAATGAGGAGTTGCTCTGGAGAGTTACCATAATTGGTTTTCCTGTAGTTGAAAAGCCCCTGGGGCGTCAGCGCAGAAACAACCACAGATTTATGCAGAACTATGGTCGGGAACTTAATGTTAAGGGTGCTGCTAACATAGACAAGCACTGGAGCCAAATTGAACAATGACTAACCATCCATGAACCAGTAAAAGGCTTTAAGCAAACTGCATCATCTGAAGGAAATAAGAAGACAGATCCAATAAAAAAACAATAAATTTAAATCACCAGGATGTTTTTGCTTTACTGTTATATTTTATTCTCTATTAGAAGTGGCACACATTACCAATTTCAGCAGTATTATTAATAAGATTGGTACCTGTTAGTAGGCAATACTAGCTTTATTTGTGATCACAACCACTGACAATACGACTCATTTTATCTGCTAAGCTAAAGCATTGCAAATAATTAAATATGCCTGTATTTCGTAAGATCTGCTGTTGTTTGCACTTTTATCAAGGAATAAGCAAAATACCCAAATAAAACTAGTTATGTAATTAACATGTACACTATATATATTTTTATTCTATTTTAATACCTGTGGGGTTTATTCAAGAGATGCAACCGTTTCTGCCTCTACCAATCAGATCCTTGTCTGACAAAGAGAAAATCATCCATGTGAAGAGTGAGGGTATGGCTTACCTTGTGTTGTACTCCAGTCTAGTCCACCAACAAAGAGTTTCCTAAAGGAGGAGGAAAAAGGGATGATAAACTCTAAAGCATCAGAATAAAGTCACTGTAGATTCCTGTGGGTCTTTAGGGACATAAACAGTGGTTTAAGAAGACTTCAAAGGCAGCTATTTAAACACAGCTGACTAAACAGACAACTTTATAAAGCACACAGAGCCAGAAGAAAAGCCTACTCTGCTGCAGCTACACTAAAATCCTCATGCTGGCTGACGCTTTGCTGGATCTTCCTTGAAAGCGGTATGAAACTTCATCAACAATAAAGGTCTTTATATTCACGCCCTGCCACGTAGATTACCCCGGGACTGAGTCGCGGAGTTCAGCGAGCTGAGACTCCTGGCGCCACAGCAGCCACGGCAGCGCCAGCCCCGAAAACCCGAGCGGAACGGAGCTGGACTCAACGGCTGCTGCTCGGCTCCCTGCATGCGGACCAGTAAACTCGAACCTCCCAAGTTCGGGGACTGTTTCGATCAGCAAATTAGCTTTTGGTAGAGAAAAAACTCAAACACGCCACGGATAAATAAAGAGTTTCAGTTTAAACAGCTTGGCGCAGACGCTGCTTCTTCCCCCAGCAGTGCCCGCTAAACGTCCTCGCAGCGCAGCGGCGAAGTCGAGAGACTTTGGCTCCGCCGCTTAGCAGAACTAGCTCGGCTGCTTCGAGCTAACTGGAAACAACACAGAATTAAGTGGCTGTACTTCCATGCGTTTCACTGATAACCAAAGAGACGTTACTCGGAGTAAACTTGGTCTACTCCACGACAGCGATGCTACTTTGAAGACTAGTTTTACTTTTAAGCCATCTTTACTCGGGTTAGCAATCCCGTTTAGTTACTGATGCTAGCTCTTCAGTTAGCTGTCGAATAACAGCTTGACAGCGAAACACACAAACTATGAATCGAAATGCGAGTTATAATCCTTCAGGGACGGTGCAAAGCTTAGTTAAAAAGATCCTACCCGACTTCATCCCCAACTAAGTTGTTGTTCATTTCTGAGGCTGTAAGGGAGACTGGGAGCTGTGACCGGCTTCTTGCTTCAGTGCTGCCCCTCTCAGATTGCACGCGGAGGAAGGTCACTCCGCTTTTTGTTTCAAACTGTTCTGCGCAATGACGGCGCTGCAGGGGGTCAGCGGCCTTTAAAGGGACATCGCCGAGCAGCCGCACCACAGTGGGTTGGACCTAATTATACAACAAACATAACCAACCCACTGTTTTAATAAAGGAAATAAACTGTAGTCAAATTCTAGTGCACCGTATGACAGAATTTAAATGACATCACTTTTTTGTTGAGATCGTTTTGTTTCATTGCACTTTTCTAAATATATCCATGTTAAGCAATATCTACTGTACAATTTTTTTAAATAACAATTTTTATAACCAGTCTCATTTCATTGAAAGTGTAAGCGTGTGTTTTCCTTGTATTACTTTGACAGAACGTGCCAACTTCATGCAATTTGAAAAACTTCTTGCATAAAAATTATTTTCAAAATGTTTGGAAGCCCATTCCAGCCACTCTGATTAACAAAATGTATTTTATCTGAAATTTATTACTTAACTATTTCATAATTATGAGATAGCTAAGTCACAATATGAGATGAAACTCATTTTTAGCAGAATGGCGAAAATAGGCTTCCATACTAAGGCATTCAGTCCTTGAATTAAAAAAACAGGCAAGCATGCATTTAAAGCAAGTCATTGAAACATCTTTAGTCACCAGTTCTATTTGATTCAACTAGAAAATCGTTGTCTGGAAACCATATTTTTGCACATGTAGTTTTGCCCTGAAGTTTTACATATTGAGCCCTTTAAGTGTAAATAATATAGAATGTATTCAGTTTCTTTGATGCAAAATTGACATTTTTCTATTTCAAATGTTTATTTTTAACATCGATTAATAAACATTGCAACTTCACAAAATAAAACTGTTTTCATGCATCCAGAATAAATAAAACTATTTTATTTTCAAGGCTGTTTTTACAAAAATCCTGTTCCAGCAGTTCCCTACATTTTTCCATTTTGGAACTGTCTAAATATTTATTGCTGGATTGCAATTAGCAACACTTACTGACACTTTAATAATACCTTCATTCAAGTCACACCAGATTTTAACGTTCTGCCGGCTCAGAAAAAAAGCAAAGTCTTTTAGAAGATAAAATTAATTTAGCTTTGTTTAATTTAGCAAACTAACTTTCACAAATCATCCCATATGTTCTCTCGTTCCTTTTATATGTGTCATTTAAATCACATGTAGCTTGGTACTAATCAACATAAAAATAATTAAAGTAGCAACATGAATATTGTTCTTCTGATATTATTCCCTGGGCATTTAGCTCCCAGTGGGAATTGTAAAAGTCAGGTTGAGAATCACCTTCTCACTCAGCTGAGCGTATCTTTGGAAGATGCTCTTGTTTCTCTTTATCTGTTCCAGATCATCTGTGAAGGACAAATTGAGGGCATGTTCAGCATGTCATGATTTGCTGTATAACAGACTCCACTGGGACTCAAGCCAAGTTATTTCAAATTACAACATATAGGAGGAAAACAGCTTGATCGTTTTCCTCAGAGGGAGTGTGCTCGTTCTGGTTTTGGTAATAAAAAATTCAAGTGGAGCAGAAAGGGGAAACGGTAATACTCAGATTTAGTTGTTATAATCAACACTCAGAAGTATTAAAACAAGGTGTGTTCTGAGAAAGATTTAATTACATTTTAAATTTGTCTCAATGTGGTCAGTTTATTGAATGCCAAACAATTATAAATATAAAGCAAATCTGTCAGCTTTATGAGACAACTATGGTTTTTGCAGCTTTCTGCAAACTGAACAGCTGCCTTTTCTAATTGTAAACATCTTGAATTTTACATAAACGTGTTGGTACTGTATCAGTCAGTTACATTGTTTTAGCTCAAGTTTGATAAGCTGATGCAGTTAAATTATGATTCCATGATAGTCAAATAACGTCTTTTACCACTGATCTGATTCCAATGTGATCAACCACGAGCACTTGAACAGAAAAGCATCAGGAAGCCTCAGAGCTGCAGTAAATCTGAACCTACCCTTAAATTGGTAATATTAAAATTAAATGAGGTAGATAAATTAAAACTCTTAAGCCCAACCAAGAGAGATTACACAATTTCATTTAATAAATTCTCATTTTCCATTGTTTACTTTTTTTTTCTTTACAAATGTACGTCGAGAGGAAAGTCAGAATATTATCTTTAAGATTGTTAATAATGTGTAAAACAATACAAATCCTTGTTTGGTCATTACCTGGTAATGAGAACGCTGGCATTTCTTAAAGCCATATCTGCTCTTTTGTTTGTCTAAATGTAGTCTAGAAATCTAGACAAACTGTAGCAGAAGCAAAAGCATTTTGTTCTGCAGATCGGTCTAGCCATAGAAGCCTAAGCAGGCCCGACCAGTTTTGTCTCTCGCCCATCAAAGCTCAAGTTTGGTGGGCCAATCAAAGCACTCTATCGGTTTGGTGGGCGGGATGTTGCTGTGACAAAGCGAAACAAATAAGATGGCCACGTCTTCTATGAAACAGCTTTGGCATCAACTTTGGACTATTTAAACACGGGTTTTTCTTCGAGTCAAGAGTAGATAGAAAAACTTAAGTATTTTATTTAGAAAAATTGTGTATTGGCATCTTCTTCGACAGTGTATACCTGTAGTGGTGAGTATGCCACGTTCCCATTGCTTTTTACCTTATTTTGCTGAATGTTTTGGCTATGTCCAGTCGCTTTCATCTGAGTTTTGGTGGCATCACATTTGTTGCCATTTATCTGCAGGCAGTAGAGGACAATGTTGCCCTCTAGAGAACAATGTTGCCCTCTACTGCCCAAGCCTTCCTTGTCGATCACGTCCCATAAATAATCCAGTGTGTAAGCTCCTTAGGGGGGTGGCAGGGGTACATTCGCAGACCACTTCGGTGATGTGCATCAGCCATGAGTGTGTGGGGGGGGGGGGGGGGGGGATGCATGCTCTGGACCGTGTCGCTCCTGTTACTGGCTTAGGATCCCTACTACGCTTTGCTGGCAGGTGTCGAATAAAAATGACCAGCGCAGCAGCATTAGCACTCGGCTATCCTGCAGGCTCACAGATTGTAAACAGTTATTACGTCCCTCTTTGGCCATCTTGAAAGAAGGGGAAAAAAAGACAAAAAAACAGCTGGCTGAGAGAGAAATGTGTTTTAATGTAACCTTCCTTCTAACATGATTGAGACATTATTCCGTTTTGAAATTATTTCTGTGTGAAATTCTTCCATATTTTTCCTTCACCCTCTGCTGAAGGGGACTTTTACTGGTGCAAATGATTAATGTAATTATGCACGGCATACGACAACAGTGGAAATTATCCAAGTCACGTTACACTCTTGTCTGCAATTCTGTCCATCTCAAATGGGCCAATACCTAAAGCCAATCCTCGTCTGTAAATCTCTATAATTCTCGTCTGGTCTCTCTATAATTAATGCTTCTCTGGTTTCTGGTCAGGTCCCTGCTTACTTTAAGAACTCTGTAATCCACCCGCTTCTTAAAAAACTGAGTCTCGACCCCTCTCTCCATAGCAGCTTCAGACCCATCTCTAAACTTCCGTTCATCTCCAAGATCTTGGAAAAGGTTGTGGCTAAACAACTCACAGCTGCTCTTGATGAACATAACATCTATGATTGCTTCCAGTCAGGTTTTCGTAGAGCTCATTCTACTGAAACAGCTCTTCTTAGGGTCTCTAATGACCTTCTGACTCACAGTGATGCAGGGGACTGTTCTGTTCTGGTCCTGCTGGACCTGACTGCAGCTTTTGACACTGTTGACCATCACCTGCTACTGGAGAGGCTGAGAGACTGGGTATGCCTATCAGGAACTGCTCTGGAGTGGTTCTCCTCTTATCTCTCTGAGAGCTCCTTTTCTGTGGCCGTCTCCAAGTTTAGGTCCTCCACCACCTCTCTTACCCATGGTGTCCCACAAGGTTCTGTGCTGGGGCCTCTACTCTTCCTCCTCTATCTGCTTCCTCTTCAGCACATCCTGAGCTCCTTCAAAGGAATCTCCTACCATCTTTATGCAGATGACATCCAACTGTACATCTCCTTTGAGCCCCATGAGACGTCTAAGCTGCAGCTGTTACACACCTGCTTAGACGCTATCAAAACCTGGATGGCTGGGAGCTTTCTTCAGCTGAATGAAGATAAGACTGAGATCCTCATCTGTGCCCCAGACAAGCTGGTTCCCAAAGTCAGAGACCCTCTTGGTCAGCTTGCTTCTCACACCAAACCTTCCATCAGGAATCTTGGCGTGACCTTTGACCCAGCTCTCACCCTGGATTCTCATGTAAGTTCTCTTGGTCGCTCTTCCTTCTTCCATCTCAGGAACATTGCTAAGCTGAGACCCATTCTGTCTCGCTCTGAACTTGAGACACACCTTCATCTCCTCACGCTTAGACAACTGTAACTCTCTTTTCACGTGTCTGAGCAGAACCTCCCTGAACCGTCTACAGGTGGTTCAGAATGCCTGTGCTCGGCTTCTGACCAAGTCCTCCAAACACACCCACATCACCCCGCTTCTCCTCCAGCTTCACTGGCTGCCAGTCAACTTCAGGGTTCATTTCAAGATCCTGGTTCTGGTCTATAGGGCCTTACATGGACAAGCACCATCATACATTGGTGATCTTCTTAGTCCCTACACCCCCAGCAGGTCCCTGAGGTCCCTGAGGTCCAGTGATCAAAGCCTACTGGTTGTGTAGCGCACCAGGCTAAAGACCAAAGGTGACAGATAATCTGCTGCTGTGGCCCCCAGACTCTGGAACTCTCTCCCCCTGAGCCTGAGATCAGTGGACTCAGTGGTCTCCTTTAAAAAGCAGCTGAAGACTCACTTGTTCAAGCTGGCTTTTGTATGACCTTCTTCACCACTCTCTCTTTATTCTGCTCTCCCCACCTATTCCACCTTCCTCAGGATCCACTGATTTCCCTCTTTCCTATTCACTCTCTCTCTTTCTTTACATTTTTTTCTTTTAAATTGCAATTGCTTATTCTTGCTCATTTTAAATATATTTTTAAACATTTTCTAAATTCTTTTTTATATTTTTACAATTTTTTTATATTTTTTGTTTTTGTTTTTGTGAAGTGCCTCGTGATTTTTATCTTGAGAGGTGCTATAGAAATGATATTTTCTTTTTCTTCTTTTTCTTCTTCTGTAAAGGTCTCAGAATGACTTCACTGACATGACCGCATATGAAAGCTACAGAAGAACAATAATCATTTATTGCTTCACATGTCTGAATGCATTGGTTTCTGCATGAATGTGAGCTTCTGTGGGATTAAGTGTCATGAAACGCAATGCAAATCAGGCTCCTCCTAGCAGCAGGAGGATGAAAAACCTGCAATGTGACGAGGACGCTTGCTGTGATGAGGAGCCGGCTCCACTCAGGCTCCTCTAAATGGTAGTGAAAAGGATGATGGGAAAGGCAGACATGTTGAGAAGATGATCAGGTGATCTATTTTTGACTGTCAGTTGCTTTGTGTTGTGAGTCACATCAGAAACAAAAGAGTGTGAATAACAAAAATGGTCTGAGGACTGAGGAGAGCGTGTCAGTTCCAGGCAGCCTGCAACATCGTTACATGATTAAATATTTCTCTATTAAGGGATCACTGAATGCCTCAGGTAGTTTAGGAGATCTTACAACCTATGCCTGTTAGGACCTCAACTCCTAATTCCCAGCTACTGATAAGGGTGCTTTTGTTTGGCCCAGAGTGCAAAATCCAAAGATTAAGACTGAACATACAATCATGAGCTGAACCAGTGACTTTTTACATGCTTTTCCTGTAACAACAGCGGCAAACATGTTCCGATGTAAATATTATAACAGGGTGTCACTTGCATTTATAAAAATATGTTAATACATTAATGTACTCTATTGTTGCAAGAATACATTCCTGCATTGTCTTTGGAATTCAAAGGTAAATTAAGGGTGACCTCACCTAAACTTTATGCTTATTCCATTTTATCTATGCAGAAAGGATGTAATCTGACAATAAACATAAATATATGTGTATGTGTAAAATGCCATTTCAACATAAAAGCAATGTTTTAGTCTATCACTAATTATAAGTGTCAGGTTTTTGATTCGTTGATGTCACTTTCGTGATACATATTCAGTCGATCAGGGTGCTGACAAGATGTTACGCAACAGCAGTCAATGTACAACATGTATGAATACTGGATCACATGCACTGGCTGATCCCAGCTGTCCATGCAGACGCACAGAGAGTAAAACATACCAAGACCTCTCCCTCTGCTCCTAATCCTGAGAACTAAAAAATATAAAAAAGTAAGAAACAAAGAACTACAAAGAAAGAAGAAACCTGCAACCGACCACAAGAATGTTCTTTTTGGCTACAAACACTTTAAGAACTGTTGGCCATAAATCCTGCATTACTGTTGCAAAAAAAGAAGTTTCAAGGAAATATTTGTAAGCATGAGGAAAGAAATGTTGTAGGAATAATATTCATTGTGTCATTATTAGCTTGTTTTATAAAGCTGAAACAAGTGATGGATGTGCGGGATGAAGAATAGATTGTAACTCCAAATGAGGCATTAAGGTTTTTATATTAACAAAAAAAAATTCATTAAAGGGACAGTGTGTGTTTCCCTAGCAATAGGGGGTAGTATATACCTAAATCATTGCAAGCAAAGCAGCATTTTTGTATTTGAGTTAGGGTAATTAGGGTAAAAATTAAAAAATCCTTGGGAGCGCAATTTTTTGAACGAGTACTTCGTCAGATCACTAGCAACAAGCGAAGAAGTAAAACAACGTTTATAAATGGAGAAAGTTTTCTAACCGATTGTTACAAATCTGTAAATGCATTTTGTCCTTACGGGGTCACGTAGAAGGAAACATTGTGCCTAATATGGCATCGCCCAGTGACTTGGGGGGTGTTTCTCAATGTCAAGGCCTTGCTTACAAGAACACTGTCCTTCCTTGTTCAAAGAAAGCAGTCAAATGGAAAAGGCTTACCTCATGTGACTGCGGCTTCTGTAGCGGTCACGTCACGTGACATGTGAGGTATTGTTATATTTTCAGGGCTGCCAACTCTCACGCATTGAGCGTGAGACACGCATTTGACCCTCTTCACACACTCACGCCACACCTCCAATATCCCCCCCCCCACCCCCTACCGCACTCTCGCGCATTTAAATCTTCAAAAGTTGGCAGCCCTGTATTATGTTTCAATATAAATGTATAATGTGCCTTTTACTTTTTAAATTGTGTATATATTGGTTAAATTAAATTTGTAAGAGAGTTACTACCTGCTAGCCACTGATGCTGTAACTACTAACCAACTAACCAACCATAGAATAATTCTACGGAGGTGTCTGTCCTCTGTTTGTCTGCTGCTTAGCTAACTGACCAAGGATACATGGGAGGTGCTTTTTTGCATTCTCCCAGTCAAAAATTTCCCAGAATTGAGCACTGTATTTTTAAAAGGATGGCAAATCAGGATCCAGCAACTACTTAGGAGGCAAATTTCCCGTTTAAATTAAGTCAACTAATTGTAGCTATTGGGCTTCTAAATTGTTGTTTTTAAATCCAAAGCAGTTATCTATGTTTGGTTAGTTGTAGTTGCAGCATTGGTGGATAGCAGGTTTAACTCGCTTACATAATTGATTTAACCAATATATAAACAACTGAAAAGTAAAATGGTTGTTCTACATCTATATTGAAACGTATAGGTATAAAATATAACTTCACCTCACGTATCACGACCGCGACAAGTCTGTCCCATTTAACCACTTTCTTTGGAAGGGTGTCCTCATAAGCAAGGTGCCTTGACACTGAGAAACACCCCCATGTATTTTAGACCCAATTTTTATGGTTATATGTCACAAAGCTGCCGATATTTTTCAACTAGAGGAAATTTTATTAGTTTGTAAATGTTTTATTGTCTAACATCTAAAATATCCCTGCAATAAAACACAACAGAAACCACTTATCACCATTCTAAGGGTTTGATTTAAAACTTTAAACTTTATTAAAGTTAACAAAATTACTCCACTGTACTTGTAACTAAAACATCTATTTTTGTTTTCTTCAACAACCCGAACAAGCCCATCTTTACTGGTGAGTGAAGCATCTCGACTCCGGAGGATCTTGGGCTCTCCCACTGTCGGTATGTGTGTGTACGCGCGCGCGCGCTCTGCGCTTTGACCCGCCGTCACACTACTGCGGTGTCAGCACTTGAGGGCTCGATATAAACCACCGCCTTCTTGGTTTGTCCCTCTTCTGTGCCTGCCGAACCGTTCGCCCAGAACCAAACAACATCTAAAAAGAATGTCCTCCGAGGTTCTGCCTATATTCTCTAAGGGAGAGGATTGCAAGCCCGCCTGGCACGACGCTAGCGCCGGCTACAATGAGGCGGACACCCACCTGGAAATCATGGGCAAGCCCGTCATGGAGCGCTGGGAAACCCCGTACATGCACTCACTGGCCACCGTTGCAGCCTCAAAAGGTAAAAGTAGTTGTAGGAGCCCACCGTGCATTATCGGACACCGCGTTGTTCTATGTGGCGTGTCCGATATTTAACATAGCGTACCCAACACTGACTTCATCTGAAGGTGGAGGTAGCTGTTTTCCATGAAATGTCATGGTTTTTTTTGGGTTTTTTGCAATTTACATTGAAACAACTTCGTGCTGTAATAAATGCAAATCTGTAACTTTGATAAGCCATAAACCTTCTTGTATGCATTACATTTTCTTAACTGAACATAAAGTGCAAAACAAAATTTTGAATAAAAAATATAAATGACTAAATGCATGCAAATCTCATTATTGTCACTTTTTGGTTTGCTGCAATGCTATTTATGCCATTTACTTTAATATTGTGCATGTTTTGCTCACTTTTGAGCGTTTTTTTCAATGCAGTAACGTGTGCATAACAGGTGCTCTTAGTGAGAACTACAACAGCTGTTATTTCACTTTTAGGAAAAGGCCAAGGAATCTGCTGCAGGCAAAACAGCTCACTCACTTTCACCTTCATCTTTGACCTTTGGATTGTCTTTTTTGTTGAATGGTCTAGAAAAGGCTTGTGATTGCCATTCCAGAAAGTTCTATAAAAAGAAATAAACTTTAGGTGGAAATGAATTGATTCGTTATCTGTCACAGATGCAAAAACCCACAAGTGCACTTAAAATGTTGCAAAAATTATGCATTCAAATGCAAATTTTCTTGTAATATAAATGTAGTTATGTTTGGGGAATTTAGCAGTTAAATATCTAATCATTATGAGAAGTTAAGATAATAACTTTTTTTCCCCTCAACTGTTTGTGTGTTGTTAAAAGAATGAAAGGCTTTGACCTTTTGCTTTGGTCACAAGTTATAATCATCCTGCAGAGCAAAAATTACTTTGGTATTTATATCAGAAATAATCACACACACACACACACACACACACACACACACACACACACACACACACACACACACACACAAATCCGCTTTAATGAAGCTGCAAGAACACGTGGGACTTGATCTAGGATTAAAGGTCAACAAACAACTTTTCAGGTTTAAGCATTTTAAATAAAATAATCAGATTTTTTATCATCTTTTCAATATAATTTATTTGCATTAATCCAACAATTTCCCTTTTTGCTGAAATTGTCCTGTAGGTGGTCGGGTTCTGGAGATTGGATTTGGCATGGCCATCGCTGCCACCAAGCTAGAGTCTTTTTCCATCGAGGAGCACTGGATCATCGAGTGCAACGATGGAGTCTTTGCTCGCCTGGAGAACTGGGCCAAGTCTCAGCCACACAAGGTTGGAACAGCCGACTAAAAAGCTGAAAACTTTATTGTGTGTGCTTGAAACTAGATATGTCTGCACACGGGCATAATACCAACTAAATGCATTGTTTTGTTTTGAAATATGAAGTCCAGTGTTTTGTGCTTCTGCAGGTCGTTCCTCTGAAGGGTCTTTGGGAGAATGTTGCTCCCACTCTTCCAGATAATCATTTTGATGGTGAGAAATAAAACAAACTTGAAAAAAAAAGATTTTATACAAAGATATTCAAATGAACAGGAGCCAAATATTTTGTAAACAAGTTAAAGATAATCAGTTGTGAAATTGTTTAAATTAGCAAAAATAACTTGTGCATAAATGTGGTTGATTCACCTGTTAACACGGTTATTGTCCTCAAACAGGTATCTTGTACGACACATACCCTCTCTCTGAGGAATCATGGCACACTCACCAGTTTGACTTCATTAAAGTATTTAACTTATTTTTGTTTAACCTAAAAAAATCAAAGTCAACCTAACTTTAGCATTTAGTTCTGTGTAGTGAGCACATCTGAAATTATTTTGTGTGAATTTCCTGCAGGGTCACGCTCACAGGCTGCTAAAACCTGATGGCATCCTCACCTACTGCAACCTGACCTCCTGGGGCGAGCTGCTCAAGACCAAATATGACAACATCGAGAAAATGTTTGAGGTTTGTCACCCTTTATGACACAATCAAAATGAAATCATCCAGAATACAACCCCGTGAACAACTTGAGTGCTTCTGATTTACCGTGCTGTGCCAACACAACAGAAACTCTGCCAAGTGTTTTGAAGCGTACTATAAAAGTAATAATGTGCCACATTTAGCACTATAAATCCACCTAATGGGTCCAAACTGGTGCCTGTTGATGCTTCCTTGTTTTAGAATTAATGAAAAAATAAATGCATTCATAAAAACATTTTTCATGTTATCCAAGCACTTGAACTGACTCAGTGTTAATCTTGATGCTATGATCTACGGCGTTTGACCCTATGGAAGTATGAAAGTGAATGTGTGGAAAACAGCTGTAACGTATCGCTTCAGTTTCAAGGTTACTGATAACCAGGATCAGAACGTGAGCTGCCTCACATCCACCGCCTCTGTTAATGATTTACAGGAAACTCAGGTGCCTCATCTGCTCGAAGCTGGATTTAAGAAGGAGAAGATTAGCACCACCACCATGGACATTGCACCACCCAGTGAATGCAAATACTACTCCTTCAAGAAGATGATCACTCCCACTATTGTAAAAGAGTAAATACTGTCCCATACCCTTTTTATATTCTGGTGCCTTTTTTCCTGACATTCGATTTGTGTCCACAGTATTTTTAATAAACCCAACTGCTCCCCAACTCACTAGAAGTTCTTGTGTTTATTCCGCCATATTTACTCACCTTAAAGTTTCTGGACTGTCTTCCTTGGTATTTTTCAGCATTTTCATGGTGTGTTTTGGCTAATGGAGCTTTAGGGGCAGCAGTAGCTCAGGAGGTAGAGCGGGTTGTCCAGTAATCGGAGGGTTGTAGGATTGATCCAGGCTTTTAGCAGAGATTGCTGCGGTTGTGTCCTTGGGCAAGACACTTAAGCCACCATGCCAGCTGGTGGTGCTCAGCAGGCCTCGCCTCTTGTCAGCACACCTTGGTGTAGCTGTGGCTACATTGTAGCTCATCACTGCCAGGGAGTAAATGTGTGCATGCATGGGTGAATGACTTGTGAAGCACCTTGGGGGGCTCTAGGACTCTAGAAGATGCTATATCAAATACAGGCCATTTACCATTCATGCATAAGCTGATATATTTCAGTACCAAACATGAGAAAACAGCATAAAAGCAATAAGCATGTGCTTCAGGTCTTATATCACCCAGCATCCTACCTGCCATGAACAAGAACAAGCGGTACATTTATTACAGCTGCTTTGAAAAAAAACATGCTTTGTTATAATTATAGTCTAAGATGTTCTCTAGTCTGCAGACTCATGTTATTTCTGTTATATTTATGAAGTGACAGTAAAATGCTAACTCAGTGCAAACATGAGTGTGTTCTTTTAACTCCAGTTTAGCAGACTTCCTAATAGAAGAGACCTACAATGGGTATAGAAAAGAATCTCCTTCTTTAAAAGAGTTCAATATTTTTGCTTTACCACAGAGACAATATGTAGTTTATACCATTTATTTCTGGAAATATCCATCAAAATGTTGCTGAAAATGAATGAAATGATGCCCAGTTGTTAAAAAATATTGGCAGCTTTGTAACATGTGACCATAAAAAAGTCAGGTCTAAAATACATGGGAGTGGGTTGAAGTCTCTGGGTGACAGAAAAGAAGCTGAACATCTAGGGTAAAAATTCTACAATTTTCCTATTCCACCAAAAGTGAAAGAGATTATAGTTATCAATAGAATATATACCCTTCTGCTACAATCGATTTGGTTTTGACTGCAGTGGTTGTATATGAATGTATGTATGTACAATCGACGCGTTGGACATTGGGTTTCCATAGGCTCCAATAACAAGTTTTTCTGCTAAAATTGGAGGTGGCTACCACCGCCATTTTGACCGTGTCACAGGTTCTGTCAAGCCCAGACAATTCCACAAAAGGGAAGAGAGGTGGAGCTGAGGGTGGGGCTGTAAGGCTGGGATCAACTGACGACACCCGGTCAAACTAGCTACAAGCTAACCTGAAGCTAACCCAAAGCTAATGCGGAGGTGGGAGCTAAGCTAACAGAGGTAGCAACCTAGCTACAACCGGAGTTAACTGTGCACAACACCAGAGCTTCTGAGTCAGAGATACACCGGGCTGACCGCTGGGTAAAACCGGGTGGAACACAGAGGTCTCCCGAGAGCTCCACAAGCCGGCAGCCGCACAGCAGACAAGCGCCGCTGCGATCTGAGATGCGCAGAGCTGCCGCTGGGTAAAACCGGGTGGAACACAGAGGTCTCCGAGACCTCCACAAGCCAGCAGCCGCACAGCAGACAAGTGCCGCTGCGATCTGAGATGCGCAGAGCTGCTGCTGGGGAGAACCGGGTGGAAAGGTTTCCATTCCAGAGCTCCACAAGCCGGCAGCCCACGCAGCAGACAGAAGCCGAGATCAGACAGAGATGCGCCGAGCTGCGGGGAGGGGAGAACGGGTGGAAAACATCGGTTTCCATCCAGAGCTTCACAAGCCGGCAGCCCGCGCAGCAGACAGAAGCCGCGATCAGACAGAGATGGGCCGAGCTGTGGGGAGGGGAGAACGGGTGGAAAACAGAGATCTCCCGAGAGTTCCACAGGCCGATAGTCGGAACCCAGCTCCACCAACATGTTATATTTCAACCCATTTTCTAAAGTGCAGCATTATGTTAAATGCACTGGGTTTTACCCTATTACATTTAAATTTCATGGTTAAACAGTACATGTTAAAATCTAAGCTCAGCTCGGCAGTGACCTAAAATACATAAATATAATTTTACTTACCGAAAAAAATGAAGTGGAGACTCCTTGGACGCTCTATTAGTGCAATTAATGCCACAGCAAGTCATTTTGTCGAACAATTGCACAAAAAATATCCAAAAAAGAATACACAAACACAGAGACCCAAAATCCCGGAGCAGTTTCCAAGCCAGGCCGAGGCTCTACTGAGGCCTTTCCACGGAGCTAGCTCTGTGGTCACGTGGGTCTGATGCTCATTAATTATACAGAATTTTAGGCTTTTAATACACTTAAACAGAAGAGTGAGAAAAAAATTCACCCCCCTCAGAGTTGTCATGAGTGTAAACTAGATCATTTAAACCAAAAACATGTTTTGGTACCAGGCTGTAAACATGTTTATTTCTGCTGTGAAATTGGTATTTTTAACATGGGAGTCAATGAGGATTTGCTCGCTTCTGATACCAGCCCCCAGCAGATGAGGGTGGAACTGCAATTTTTGGTACTTCCGGGTTGGCCTCAATTTTTGAGCCGCATTGTGGGGGCTTGGTATGTACACTAATGCCTTTTGGGATGACCTACATCACTGGTTAGCTAAATATGTACCAATTCCAGACTTGAAAATTGAAAATGTTATGTATGTGTGATACCCACTTAGGTGTGTCCACATTTTTGTATTGAGCTGATTTCATTAAGGTTTAAGCTAAGGTTAGTTTGGTTTGGGCAACATATTTCCTCATCACCCCAAGGGAATTGTTTTGGTTAGGGTTAGGTGTACTGATTCTAAAAACTGAGTGAAATGTGTTTTTCTAGTTAAAAGTTCAGTTAAAGAATAAGTTGCTGGTGTTTATTAAAAACTATAATGAAGTGTTTACCCGTGTGATGTTACAACATGTAACCTGGATGTGTTTACTATGCAGTAGTGGTTTAATTGCATATCTGATTTGACTGAATAGTGGATATGCTTTACTGGAATTCAGCTCGGGTCTGAAGAACCAATGTTAACATTTAAGTTGCATTTTAATGCAATGGAGTGTATCTACAAAGACCTAATGTACAGTGGAATGCCGAATTATTTGTTGGGTAATATTACACTAAACTGTTTATTAAACACAAACTGAGAGACTTCAGAGAAAACCAGACTACATTTCTGTCCAGTCATTTCTATTGTGTTTTTCAGCTACCTCTGCTGTCAGCGGGTCCGGGGTTTCGGTACCTGTTACATATGGTTGTATTTTAAACAACTCCCAGCATGATTTGACAACTCCATTGTTATTTTAGCCCATGAGGAAAAAATGCATTTACTGATTTGTAACAAATGGTTACAACACTTTCGCCTTTCTTAAATGTTGTTTTACACATTTACCTCCACTTTTTGCCAGTGATGAAAGGAAGTCTGATGTGCTTGTTATTTTGCAGAAGTTTGCACTCCCCAGGGCTTTATGACCCTAATGGGCATCCATTAGTAAGGTCTTACTCCAATGCAAAAATGCTGCTTTCTTGCAATGATTTAGGTATCTACTGCCCCCTATCACCAGGAAAAATACACACTGTCACTTTAAGTGGAAACAAAAAATATGTTACCAGCTTTACTTACCCAGTGCAACCTATAACATTCACTGAAAAATATCAGTTACCGTTCAGGAAGATTAAAAAAAGAATTTTAAACTCTGTCAGGGGATGTAACCACCATTTCCTTAACAGACCATGGTTACTGGCTTCCATATGTGATGAATTGTAATCAGTATGGTTGGTGGAACATATAAACAGCTCTTTCTGGTGCATTCTCTTGCTTGGTACAACTGACAGCAAACAACTATCGGTGGAAAGCCACTTTCAATAGACCTGAGGGAGACACATAAGACAGGAAATTGATACAAAAATATCTCAAAGGTTTTATCAATCCCAAGGAGTACAGTAAAGTCTATAATAAAGGAGAGGCAAGTGTTTGGTACTACTAAGGACCCTTCCTGGATCTAGTCATCCCTCCAAGCTGGAAGGAAGTGCAAGGAAGAAGGTGTTGAGAGGCTTCCAAGAGGCCAATGGCCACTCTGGAGGAGTTACAGGACTTTATGGTAAAGAATGGTCTTTAGCTTGGCTAGCCATCATATAAGTAAATATATAGTTTGGTCATGACCCATTGAAACCACCCAGTCGTCGGGAAGTATCTACAGTTGTGATTCAGACGGCCTCTGTATGCAGTCGGACAGAGAAAGGACCAATCAGAGCAATGAACAATGTGACATATGGTACTCATTGCTATGGATGTCAGTCAACAGGGCAGTCTACCATAAACCATTGAATAAGAAGCAAATGCATCCTTTATCTAAATAAATTACTTTAGTGCCTCTACCTGTTCATGTCTCAAAGTCTTAAGCATTCAAAGTTGATGCCAAAGCCGTTTGAAACCAGTACTATCCTGAGCTGATGCCATCTTTGTAGGTGGGAATCATTCATGTCATTATTGGGTGGAGGGGGGTTCTTTGTCAATCCCAGTTTTTCTAGTTTCTTATTTTTTGAAAAAAATTCTGAACTGTAATTGTGATCATTTTCAGTTGGATGTAATAGGTTGTATTGGATAAGTAAAATATATTTTTTGTTTTCGTTAAAGTCTGTAAAGGAAACAAATTAGTCCTACGAATGGGAGGTTCTTTCCTTTACCCACTGTATTTAGGCCAATTTAACGTTTAAGAGACAGAACAACGCAGCTTACCAAGTTTACTGCTTAGTTGAGGTTTCCTAAAGTGTATTATTGTGATCATATTGAATAAAGAGGTTCTTAAAGGTTTTTCAAATACAACGTCAAAATCTTTTACAGAGGTGAATTTAGACACGACTCAATGAATAAGAAAATATTTTCCGAAGCCACATGATTATTGGGGAAAAAACATCCATGGATAGTTTTGAGTCAATTAAAGGAAAATGCACTCCATCCATCCATCCATTTTCTGAACCTGCTTTGTCCACGTAGGGTCGGGGGGGGGGGGGGGGGCTGGTGCCTATCTCCAGCAGTCAATGGGCAATCAGGCGGGGGACACCCTGGACAGAGCCAGTCCATCGCAGGGCAGAAAAATGCACTCATTTAAGTGAATGTTAAACAAGAATAAAGCCACAAAGTTGAACAAAAAAGTTTTTAAGAGTAAATGATGCTCAAATACACAAATGAGTTATTTTCTGCATGAAAGTGTTCAGATTTAAACATCTAAAGGTTTTAGGGGTAAAATATCTCAAATTAATTATATGTATTTTATTTTTACCACCCCGAAAAGAGTCTTAAAGTTACATAGCAACACTGTAAATAACCTTTAAAACATTTTAATATCTCTGATTAATGAAACATTAAAACACAAAGAACATCTTACAGAATGAACACACTTTTCTAATTTAGCTTAAATATTGACAGCAGTTTAATACATTTTTGTCCTTAAAGCATTTTCTATATTTTTCCTCCTTCAGCTAGCTGACATAATGTACTTTATGCAAGTCGTAATTTACGGTTGGAGATAACATGGCGCGTGCTATCTAAACACGTGGGAATAAGTTACCAGCTGGTGAGGACACATTAATCATTAGACGGTGGTTGATGCAACACCAGACTGCACTCAGGTGGGAAACTGCAGCAGCTGGCTGCTCTCAGATCTGAATCAGTACTTTAGGAAGTTTGTCAAAGCCTTCACTTCTAGAAATATAAAAAGGCACAGGAGACAAACACACCAACGGGGACTAAGATTATTTTTATAATTGCTGAGAATTTTTTTAGCATTTCAACAAGGAAAAGAAAAAAATGCAAAAAAAATTTGTTATCTTTATTTGAAGTGTAGAGAATTGTTTCTTTTGTAAACACTAGCAGAATATTTTTGATTTTTACTGCTGAGTCACTTTATTCTTCAACAAAAATAACTCGACTAGAGTTATTTTATCACAATAATTTTACATCTACATTATTCTACAAAAATGTCTAACTCAGCTGAAATGATCAAATTTTTTTGTATATTTAATTAATTAAGGCTGTTAAGTGCTGTAAAATGCAGGAAGTTGAGAACATAACTGACTTGGGGTTGCTCCATGCTCAAACGTGAACTCTGCACCCAGCATATCGATGCTGTCTAAAAACATTACACTAAACACATTTTAACCAGTATTTACCATCACACTTCACATTTTAACCCATTTCCAGAAAATCATTTCAGACGACAATGAATTATCTCATCCATTTTTGTTACAGATTAAATGTGTGACTTGTGAACTCTGAAACAACAGACCTGTGGCAGGTTCACCTCTGAGAAGCATAAATAAATTTACTTGCATGCATTATTCCAGTAACTGCATGCAGAGATGCAATTGTACCTGAAAATGTTAAACATGACATAATCTTTAACTTGACTTTAAACTTTGCACATCTGCTCAGAATGAAAATGCACTTGTGGTCTAGGTCTGAGTGAGTTGATGATGGTTGAGGCCTCCTGGTGGTAGAGAACTTGCAAAAATCACACAACAGAAGCAACAATCAATGATTTTCAAAAAGTCAGGTTTATTGAAAAAAACATTTAGGATAATGTGGTTTTAACTCTTGCTTCGTTTAGACCTGAGGAGTTTTGAATGATAAATGACAACTCCCCCATATGTGACTTTAATCAAGACGATCCTCTCAGAATATCGAGACTTAAAGCAACAGAAAATCATAAATTGAGCTGGTGAGTTAGGTTCAAAATAACCAGCAGTGTATAAATTACAATAATTACTTTTAATAGTGTTTCTACAGCTCTACATGGAGGAGCAGCAACACCCCAAATGCAACCAGAAATACATTTACAACCCAGGTGCACACAGATATATAACACACATTTCAACTCCTGTACCAGATCCTGATCTTTTTCTCACGTTTGATTTTCCTTTGCAGCTGCAACGTCCCGTAGAGGAGAGCTTCTGCAGTAGGAGGACAACCTGAAAAAAAAAAACCCAACAAGAAACAGAGAAACCATTAAGCTTTGTGTGAAAAGAATCCATTCCCTTGTTTTTCTTTATTGGATGCAATTAATGATGAAAAGCAGCTTATGGTTTAGTGACTCAAGGGACTTTCAGAAATACAAAACAGGATTATGGCTGCCAAAGTTACAGAGATAAGACCTCACAGCTCTCAGACCAGAGTAAATGGCCTGAATTTCACATAGCACCTTTTAGAGTCCTGGAACCCGCCAAGGAGCTTTACAATGCAATCAGTCATTCACTCATTCACATACACACATTCACACGCTGATGGGGATGAGCTACAATGTAGCCACAGCTGCCCTGGGGCGCACTGATAAGAGGCGAGGCTGCTGAGAACTGGCGCCACCGGTCCCTCTGACCACCACCAGCAGGCAAGGCGGGTTAAGTGTCTTGCCCAAGACAGCGACAAACTGAGTGGGGCTCGAACCTGCAACCTTCTGATTAAGTGGTGAGCACTTAACTCCTGTGCCACTGTAATTATGCCATTCTATATATCTGACATTGTGAAAAAGCATTATAAAATGTGCTTTTAGTTGGGTAAACACATTCCTCTGTAGAAATGCGATGTCCAAAATCATCAATGTTGTATTATTTATTTATTTTTTTTACAGTTTTTTAATCCAGCTGGGCAAAAAACAATACAAAAATCTGTTTATCATTTTGTTTCCTGCTGCTTCTCTTCCTCTGGTAAAACAAAAATACACAGCCTCACTTCCAGTGCATGCTGGTCCAATACCAGTCGCTACATTTAAAGAAAAATTAAGTCTCCCTGTTCTTCCTGGCTGACTTTCAAAGGTAAAACAAACAGAAATTAAGTTATTGTTAACCTAAAAATATCCTTGCTAATAACCCAAATATATGAAGTAACAAAACTCTAGAGAACAAAAAGCTAACAGAAATGCACTTCTTTTCTACTTTAAAGGTGCATTATGTAGAAATGAAGAAAAAAGTGACATCCTGTGGTAAAATTTGGTTACTGCAACCACTTTAACCAACTTTTTGCCGGCCGTCGTCAAATTACAATTGCCGGCGCTACAGTACTAGCTCGCAGGAGACATGGCAACCCCACACTCACTGATGGTAGACAGTAGTTACGTTCCTCCTTCCTTCGTTTTTGAAAGGAGAAAAACTGACAATCTCCACAGCCAGTTGGATATGAAATATGTTTCAGTAGAACCTTCCATCCAAAATAACTGAAACATTAGACTCTTTTGGGATTTTCTCACTATAAAAATATCACTATCTTCTTACATACAGTGCCCCTTTAAGCAGTTTAACTGAAATAATTAGTAAATAAAAAAAATAATAATAACAAAGCCAAAAGTTCAAGAGACCACATACTCAGGCTAATCATATATCCATTACATGTATTTCAGTATCTAAGCAGGATAGTTTTTCTTTCTTTTACTCTAAGCCAAGCTCACCTGGGACATAAATGTCTACTGGTACGATCCGGTCGCAGCCTCTGACCACAGCGTAAGAGTAGTGGTAGTAGCCTCCCCCATTAGCACAGCTGGAAGCACATGGTAATAAAGGTTGTTTAGACTTCCATGAAAACAATGCTGAAGAAAAGCATGTATAAAACAAACAACAGGACAATACTGCCACCATGTGTCATGTAAAGTTATTTACAGATGATTACAGATGATATACTGGAAAAGATACTTCACAAAAATATAACAAAATAATTTACATATGAACATTTTTCTAAAATGATTAAAAAACATGTTTAAAAGGAGAAAGAAAAGTATATATAATGAAAGGGAGAGAGAAAAATTAAAAGGAAAGAGGGAAATCAGTGGATCCTGGGAAAGGCAAGGCAGCTTTATTAATAGAGCACATTTCAAACACTGGGGCAATTCATTGTGCTTTACAATTATCAGGACATGATATGAAAACAACATAAAACACAAATTAAAATACACACAGATTACAGTTTAGAGCTAAAGGAGAAGACGAAGTTACAGCGCAGATTACAGTGGAGACAACGCATGATAAGAAACAATTCATTTAAAGGCTGATGAGTACATTAGGGTTTTATTTTTGTTTTAAACAACACTAGGGTTGGGGCAGATCTGAGGTCATGGGGAAGCTGATTCCATATGTGAGCAGCATAGTAACTAAATGCATCTCCACCCTGTTTGGTTCTGACCTGAGGTTCTACCAGCTGATTGTTTCCAAGGGATCTCAAACCCCTATAGAGCTCCGGATGTCACGTGACTCTCAGAGAGTAGACGCCATGTTGGCAGGCAACAAAGGTAAACAAAATGAACGGGATCGGCTTGGATTTTGCTCCATCGGAGTTTACTTCACACTTTAAAACTGAAGAAATCGTTTTATATAGTCAGAAATTAAATAGATTAAGCATCTCCGACCCTTACCATGCCCCTGGGATACTTTTTAAAAACGCCAGAAGCTGTTGGAGCGGACCTCTTACCGGACCTGGCCAGGGAACGCCTTGGGATTTCCCTGGAGGAGCTGGCCCAAGTGGCTGGGGAGAGGGAAGTCTAGGCCTCTTGACTTAGGGCTACTGCCCCCGCGACCACACTCCGGATAAGCGGATGAAAATGGATGGATGGATAAATAACATAGATTTACATGTAAGAAGTTTTAATAGAGTGCTGTGCTGTTTGAATGTATAAACTGAACGCCAAGAGAAATCACTGGTCTGATTTTTTCCCGTGAATAAAATAAATATTTCAGGCAGGAGCGTCTCAGGATCTGTCTGAGATCTGTCTCGGTGAGACAGATAGCAATCCAAAGTGCTTTTTATGTGTGATCTGACAATTGATCAACCACTGCTTAAAAATGAAATACAGCTTAGTCAGTAAATTGCTGAGATCATAAAACACGTAAACGGCAGCACGCAGAACTCATGAGGCAACGTTTTACGTGATGTTTACTTGTTGCTATGAGTAATAAGACAGAAAAAGCCACGCCAAAATAAGTTTAGGAAGCCCACTAAGAATCGTAATAAAAGCATTTAAAATAAATACCATACACAGTTGAGGAAACGTTGGTTTAAGTAACTTATATGAAGTTGTCGCTTTACTTTAGCCCGGTCACTAGCGTGTTTTATTACAATGATCCAACGTTTGTGGCGTTCCGGATCTAGGGGAATCCTATAGTTGGCTCATTCCTTATGTCGTCCGCGTGTGTTCTGGTATCCTGGGGCACAACAGGAATCTACCATATTTCTTGTTTGATTGAGTTTTCTGACAATAACAAATAGCCCAGCTGCGGGCTTCTGCCTGCCAAGATGGCGCCGTTTTGATTTGAACTGTTGCATGCCGAGAGAAGTGACGTCAACTCCCGGAGCTCTATTGGGTGTACAGGAATGAGATCAGACATGTATTTGGTCACATGTCATTGAGTGATTTATAAACTAGTAGGAGCACTTTGAAATCTATTCTGTAGTTTACTGGTAACCAGTGTAGAGATCTAAGAACAGGAGTGATGTGCTCTTCCGTACTCATTCACTGCCAATGATGACTAAAGTCGTCATTTGCATTTTTTTACTGTTTGGGCATCGGAACGAGCCCCTGCGCTGAGAGAACAAACATCTCAGCTCTGAAGCCGATTTTAATCCGCATGTGTCACATGTCACATGATCAGGAAGCAGAAATCCATGTGTTGTATCGTTTTGGGCCGTTCCTGTAAAAAAAAGTGAGGCGCGAACCAGAAAAGCTTCTGCCGATCACAATTCGACAACGGATTATGAAAGAACGGATAACGCTCGAAACGCGTGGATTCTTCCTGATGTAAGAGGTGAGTCTCTGCTTTGTTTTGGTTGTTTTGGCAACAACATCATCGTAGCACGCAACGTTCTGTGACTCTTAAAATAAACAGTAAAAACGGCAAGAAAAGCTGGCAGCGAAGGCCTTTAGCGATCAGGAAACGACTGGCAGTGAATGAGTTCAGCAGTCTGAACAAGCTGCAGTTGCTTTACAGCTTTTTTGGAAAGACCAGTTAGGAGACCATTGCAGCAGTCCAGCTGACTAGAAATAAAAGCATGAATAAGTTTCTCAAAGTCTAGTCTGGACAGAACAGAATGAGGAGAGGGTGGTGATGAAGACCGCACAAAAGGCAGCGTAAACAGGTGAGTTTTCAGCTGCTTTTTAAAGGAGACCACTGAGTCCACTGATCTCAAGCTCAGGGGGAGAGAGTTCCAGAGTCTGGGGGCCACAGCAGCAAATGATCTGTCACCTTTGGTCTTTAGCCTGGTGCTGCACAACCAGTAGACTTTGGTCACTGGACCTCAGGGACCTGCTGGGGGTGTAGGATGTAAGAGTCCTGATTACATCTGAATTCTGACTTGAGCTAAAACAGCAGGGGGTTGTGAACACCTCACTTTTATTTAAATGAATGAAAAGACCAGAGAAAATCACACAGGGGCTAAAGCCTAATCAATGCTTTTGCGTCAGCTCCTCAAGGGGGAGACGCACACGTGGTGATGGAGACATTTTGTCTATGGACTTCTCCATCACCTGGGAAGTGTTGCAAAGCAATTCCCCGCCAGGACAACAGAGGGCGTAGCCCTTATCTGAAGTATCCTGTCATGCATCCGGTCAAATATAGTGCATTTATTATTATTATTAAGAATATTGTCTTTTTTGTCATTCAGAAGACTTTTTAACGTGGACAAATTTGTCCCTTATTCTCCTCCACCTCTTTATGCACTCGCCACCCCTAAACCAAAGTTCCCCGTCATTTCCATCCATGAATAAAACTCTTGCTGCACATCTTTACTCCTCCAGTCACAGATGAATAAAACATTCATATTTTTAGAGTTTTTCTGCAAGGTATTCTTCAAGTTGCTCAGTGTCTGCCACTGGACATCGTCAGCTCTCTTTATGTTTATTGAGGAGACAATGGTGGTGCTGTTGACGAATTTAAAGGGAGAGGTGTCTTGACCAATCACAAGCTTGCGTTCTAATCCTGCTTGACGGATGTTTAGAAAAGTGGATTTGTCTCCGTCTGTCCTTGCAAGCCTGCTGGAGAGTCCTTGCAACGACGGATAATGGCGACAAACCAAGATTAAGTTACAGCTTTTCTAACGTGATGACTTTATAATTCAGGTTAAAAAAAAATCAATATAAAGCCGATATGAACAAAGCGGCTGAAAATTGATGGACAAACTTTTTCTAACCTCTAAGCTTAGTTTATGTATCTGATATCTTTTCTGGTTTCTTTTCTGCAGATTACTGACAAAGTTGATTTTCCTTTTCTTTTTGAAATATGCCACCAGTAAAAAATCTAAATCTGTTAAGTTTTTTATTGCTCCCCTTGTCTCTAACAGAGCAGGTTATTACAAAGAAGAAAGACAAACATAAAACACAATACTTATACTTATTTAGATCAGAGTTACTTTAAAATAAATATTTAACAATTATAGGACAAGAATAGACAACTTTCAATATTCTTCATTTTGACGACTCGTCAGTGAAACCATAACTCGACAAACTAACGTTTCAGAAAAAGTACACATTTTAAATGGTCTCTCATTTATCGCAGGAGTTATGTTCCCCCCAAAAAACGCAATAGGCAAAAACCGCAAAGCAGCCAGCTTTATTTGTTACAATTATTATGGAACTCGATGCACTGTAAAAAAAAAATTTAAAAAGCATGCACCATTCCACTAAAGGTAAGAATTGTTTTCAGGTGAAATTATAAGTATCCCCTACCAAAGTGAGCTGCCTGAACACTTATGGGCTGCCTGAATGTTTTTCCTCACAAAAACACAGCTAGAACACCGAACGCTGATTACATTATGGCCATAGCAGCAGCACAAAAACAAGTAAACAATCTGATGTGCCACTCCGCGCATTCGGTTCAGGTTCAACATTCCACACCTCTCCCGCTGTAACTTTTAAAACCAGGAGAGACCCTGGATGTGCATTCACCAAGCAAAGACTTTTCAGATGGTCACATTTGGTGCTTTTCGTCTCAGCCGCGGACTTTTCTCATTTTAGACAAAAACTGTTCAACTGTTATCGGCATTTATGGCTACTGGCTGCTAGCTTATTGAAACAGCGGCCAGCTTTGGACTGATTCGTTCTTTCTCGTCTAGTCCCGCCTGTACCAACTGCTGATTGGCCTTTTTTGCAGTAAGCCTATCTTTTCCATTTTCAGGTTGGATTTTTATTGTGGCCCTTTATTTATCGACGGAAAAAAATCCACGAAACAGCGAAAGGTGAACCGTGTTATAGCGAGGGATTACTTGCTTATCTCTTTATGTTCTAACACACACATGTGCTTGTGACTAACCCTTTCTAGATGCTAATCATGAGGTGTAGCGCTAATCTTAATCTAGACCCCTTGTGGCCAATTAGTTCTGATTTAGGAAGAATGTTTAAAATTAGGGAAGTTAGTTTGTGCCATCTACCCACTTTACTTTTCACCTATAAACTCTACACTCCGGCGTGATCTGCCTGCTCATCTCTTTTTCCTCTCCCATTCCTTCTCCTATACTTAGGAGAGGGAATTGGGGGAGACAGGTTAAGCCTAGACCGGCTCGGGTGTGGTTGAGCGTCACACGACGACGCCACATCTGTTACCTGTTCTTCATCAAATTCTTTTCTATCCTTGTTTCTTTCCTTTTTTTTCTTCCTTTTTTCTGTATTCTCTATTCTGTATTTCTCGTTTGTTCTTTATTCTATCTTTTCGATCTTTTTCTATTCTGTTTTTCTATTCTGCATTGATACGAACCAACAATGGAGGGGAGTTTCTGAGTGACACGCGCCGGCCCGTGCATTGCCAGTGACTCTCTACTCCAAACTGTTTTGGTCAAGGTACTGATTCAGGGGGATGTCACTGAGATACATCTACTCCACCTAACCAATGGGGTTCTTTTCCTAACCCTAACCTAAACTAAAACGTAACTCACACCATACCTCTAAAACCAAGTTTTAGGGTGCTTAGCATTGTGTTGACCCAATTTTATTTGCAACTTAAACACTTCCACCAACGACATTCCACGCAAACACACACTTAGGGCCTTGGGAGTGAGCACATCCAACGGCATTTGGCAGGGAGATTTCTCGGCCTCATCCCAAGTGCCGGTGCCCACTTCCAATTTTAAACTACACTTAGACACTGAGGGCTATGAGAGCAAGTGGGGTGGTGTGGTGGCATCAGCTGGCATAGGCCAGACGATGCCCGCACTGCCCGCTCACCAAAGCCATGGAATACACCTCATCAACACACATTAACACCATATTGGAGCAGGCGGAGGGAGACTAGGGGTCTTAGCACACCTCTGTTGTCGCTTGGCTTCCTGGGGCTGGAGGCTAGGAGGGAGATCCGGCCGTCCGGCTGGGGTCTGGGGTGGTGGGATTGCTGTGCTCAGCGTTGGGCGGGGGAGCCTGCTCATCAGCACCCCAGCAGAAAGGAACCGGTAATGGTTGTACCCCATGTGCAGCAGTACCGGGACCAGAGTGAATAGGGTGTGTATGGGGAGTAAGAGTGGGTGTCCGGCGTGCATTTTTGTAAGTCTCTGGTTGTATGTGTATGTGTGAGCATGAGGGAGGGAGTGTGTGACTGTGTTTGTGTATGACTGTATATGTCAGGTGGGGCCTTTGACTCCTCCCTTCTCCTGGGACTTCTTTTGGTGATATAGATCTTCGTCTCCCCTCTCCCTGCCACACCTGGTGTGGAGTGCGGTGCCTTGGTCTGCCAGGGTCGTAGCTCCCGGGTAAGGGAGTTTAAGATTTTTGGCATCTGCCTGACCAATCCCGGTGGCTGCCTGGTGGGGTCTGGGTCCCTGGGCACTGCTGGGTCCCCAGCGGGGGTGGTCGCCTCTGGGTCCCGGGTCATTGGGTCCCGGGCCGGCTAGGGGGTGGGAGGCTGCGGGCGGGTCTGTGAGCTTGCCGCCGATATCTCCTGGGACTCTGCCAGCTGCTGGTTGTGGCCCCCCGGGGCGATCCTCTGCACCTCTCGAGGGGAGCGGGGGCTTTTCTGGTCGCAGTCTCCCTGGAGTTCCTGTGCTCTGGGGCAGCTCCTAGCCTCTGGGACTTGGGAGCTCCCTCCGTCTCCTGCACATCTTTAGGGGAAGATCTGTGGCCCATCACACTCTCTATTGGACGCTCCTATAGAGAAACCTTACATAGACAAGCGCGTGTACACACACAGGTGCTCACATAATGATCTCATAAGTATGGACTTGGGCATGTTCAACACATGTCTTAAGGCTATGGTTGGCACTTAATGCACAATGTTGATTATATATTTCTTCATCAAGTTGACGCAGTGATAGCTTGCTCTTGTTGTATTGTTATTGTGTCCCAATATTATTATTATTATTATTTTTTGCTTTTTTTCTTCTCTCTTTCTGCAGGTCCAGAAGCAGAATCTTGTTCAATATTGTTTATTTTTGTGGCCCCTCCATCTTTTGTCTCTTCCTTTCTCTTTCACCTCTGTCTCCGTGTCTGGTCAGAATTAAAAAGCATTCAATAACAATAAAGTTTTAAGTATCAGGCGTGACATTAAAAGCAGACGCTTTGATGCTCCACCTGAGAGTAAATCTGTAAGGCTTGTCACCATCATTCAGACATCAATTCTGTTTGCTTCACAGCCAGACAGGACACACACACACACACAAAAAAGGCATTGTGTTGACCAGCAAAATGTCCCCACAGTGTTAAAATGTCCACACGTTACATGTTAAAGTTAACATTTGTCCACTTAAACATTAAAAAAGGCAAGTGTACACACACTCACGAGGGTTATAAGTTTAAAAACCAACTTGGATCTGGGCCAAGCATCCTCTGGTCTCTTGCTCTGGTAACATTATCAGAGACAAAGGAGTGTGTGTGTGTGTGTGTTTACTTACCTCCCCATGGAAATGACGTATCTGGGCTCAGGCATCTGATCGTACACCTGTGGGAAGGGATAAGTTGCTTAGTTGTGGTTATAGAAGTCTGACTCAGAACTAATCTGTAGATTCAGCTGGAGGACAATCCACTGACAGGCTGGTCATAATCCAGCCAGCATTACCACAGCTATACTGTTCCTACTGCTGCCATCCTGTTCACAGAAATATCTAACTGACATCAGCGTCAGCATCAGAAGACTTGAACATTTCAAATCTGAGACAGCAGCTGTGTGCTGAAGCATCAGGAGAACTGCACCATGTTGTAAGATAGTTATGACTGTTACGTCTTTGCTGTTGTTCACCTTTCGCAGAGCTGGTGCCATCTTATTAGTCAGCGTTCCTGCCACAATCATGACATCGGACTGCCGGGGACTTGCTCTGAAAACCACCCCAAAGCGGTCCATGTCGTAACGAGGAGCGGCCATGTGCATCATCTCCACCGCGCAGCACGCCAAGCCGAAGGTCATGGGCCACAAAGAGCTCTAACGGGGTAAAGGCAACAGAACAACAATGGCTTTATCCAAAGCACATTCCTTCACATTACAGCTACCAGGTCTTGTTTAAATAATTTCACACCAGAAAGAAAAAGGTGATCTGTAAGATCGCTGTCAAAGATGATAATTTGGGGGTGTCTGTTTTTTCTTCTTCTTAAAGTTACGTGTTTTTACAACAAATACGTGCACAGTAAAAAAAATCAGTTTCAAACTTGCAGCAATGCATTTTGTTGCCATGAAAATTCCCCCTGTAATTTCAGACAGTCAGGGACTGATTAGGATTAGGACAAATTAGGATTTATTTACCAACCACCACACAGGTAAGAGTTCATTTAAAACCGAATGTCTCAAACACGTGAATCAAATCCACACACACTCCATCGGCATCTTCTCAGCTACTCACCCTGCGAGCCCAGTTGATCAGATCATCCAGCTTCGTCACGACATATTCCCCTTTGCTGCTGGCTATGGCTGCAGGTTTGGCTGCTGCCACCGCGGTGCTCTTCTCTCGGACTGGCACCACACTGATCCAGAATGTGGAATGAATATGCTTTAGACCATGTGCTTTGTAACAACTGAATGTTGATTATAACTACCTTCAGATGAGCTCACCTAGTACTGGTACCACCACTTTTTGCACTGCTATGCAGACCATTCTGAACAGCAAAAGTAGAAACTGACCTGAAAGGGGAAAAAAATAAATAAACATGACAAAATATAAATTAGATATCAAAACATTAAAATAAAGATGCAAAATTCTAATACAAGACAAGAATATCAATTAATCATGTCATAAGGGTGTGTGTGATGGACTTTTTAGGAGGGTAGGGAGCCTCGGTCTCCTTTCCGGTTGGCTCATGCGTCCCCAGAAGAACAAATAAATAAATAAATGCAAGTCAATGGAGCGAAAAGAGCCATTTTCTAATCCAGTTTGCCTTATTCCCTGGATCAGACATATGTTGAACTTCAATTTAAGTGTTAAGTAATGATAAGTGTTTCGACCACGCCTGTCACGTACTTTGAGATTTAACAGCTTGTACAAAATTTGTGATTACTAAAACTGCAAATCAGATGTCGGCACGTCATATATGACATCACCACGTAGCAGTTACTTACCTCATGGCAAGATTTATTGAGATTCTTTTTATCCAAAAGGAAGGACTTGACGTTGGCTGGACTTAAATTCATTTTTCCTCTGCTCTTCTCCGGATTTGATGACATCAATTTGGTGATGTGCGTTTGTAGTCCTGGACTTATTTTCACATAAAACCTAAAATAACTTTTGTCTCTGTTAGACAATAAGTGCATTCTTGGTATCTAAATGTGTCTTTGAAATTAGTGGCCGAGTCGACTGATATATTCAATTTTTTCTATATTGGCCAAAATTACTTTTAAAGCTGATTAAAAAAATTAAAATCAGGCACCTGCTCGGCCAACTGCCGCCACTACTCGACTGAAGAAAGGACCCGAAGGACCCCAATTCACAGTTTTATTCATGTTTTGAGTTTGTTTCATATTTGAAGTTCAATAAATATTAAGAGATTTGTTGACTTAATTATTTTGCACACAGTGAGTGTTCAGTTGTCTTTCACAACCAATGTGCTGCTAAAACATATGTATATCAGCCTTAATAATCGGCTTTAGATATCAGCTATCAGCAACAAAATTGTTTAAAAATCGGTATTGGCATGGGCCATAAAAACTCATACCGGTCGGTAAAAATCACAGACATCATGTAATACCCATGAAACATAAAATTGACCTGCATTCATTTTATTGTTCCTCTGGGAACCTATGGTCTGGAAGTAGATGGGAGTGACTTAGGCTCCCTATAGTTAACTTTGAGATTCAAAACTTAATGCCTTAAAGTTTATTTAAATATTTATTCCAGACTGCAGTCAGGTGGAACATTTCTGGCCTAGAAATCTAGACAAACTGCAGCAGTAGCAAAAGGTTTTGTTCTGCAGGACAGTCTATCCATGCTCCATTGTAGCCTCAGCAGGTCTACCATTGGCCCAAACAGTTTTATGTTGGACCAATCACTGCACTCTGTAGAATGACACTGGGCAGGCTTAGCACCAGAGCTGCAACAGAGTAAAACTACAAAGATTGTGTCAGCTATGAAAAGGGGCTGGTTTGAAATGGTTTTAATAAAAAACCAGAACTTTGGAAAAATTAGACTTGGGCTTTTCTTTCAGTCATGAGCAGGAGGAGGTACTTTACATCGAAAAACTATGTATTTGGTTCTTCTTCTTTGACATCTTACGTCTGTCTGTCTCGTTGATGCAATCCTGCTGCAAAGAAAATGTCATTTTGCTTGTTGCTCTAAATGGCGCTGTCCAATAGTGTGCAGACAGTTTGAAAAACCATTGTGGATCCCGCCCCACGACCGAAATCTATCTATGGGCCGTGGCGTTTAAAGTGGCTTGTTAGATCAGAACATTTCAGCTGTGAAAGTAAATCAAATACGTCTTTGGTTTTCAGAGTAGGTTAAAAATGACTAATGTCTAGTTAATGTCTTTACAATGAGACACAATATGCCCAAAATATACATGGACAACTTCACAGGAATGCTTCTCGGCAGAGCACAATGCTGTGTAGGTAAAAAAAAAAGACTGAAAGAGACAAGACTGAAAAAGGTAACAAGATTAGAAAACTCTCACCTTGTTGAAAAGGAGCCAAACAAAGCGAGGCGAGGTGCTGCAAAACAAAAACATTAAAATAGAAACATCACCATAGATTTACCTTCAAGATAAACCAGTATGGGAATTCTGCAATACAATTATTATTACATATGTATAAATCCTGTTGCAGGGTGGCACAGTTGGTAGCACTGTTGTCAATAAGGTTGCAGATTAAAATCCCAGCGGCAGCCTTTCTGTGTGGATTTAGCACATTTTCCCTATTCATGTGTGAGTTTTCTCCAGATAGTTATTAGTTTAACTGGAGACTCTAAATTGTCCTTAGACGTGAGGCAATGTGTCCCCTGTAAAGGACTGGAGACTTGTTCAAAGTCTCACCTACCCAGTGACTGCTGTAGTTAGGCACCAGCTCCCTGTAACCCCAGATAGGAATAAGTGGTACAATGTAATCCTGCAGAAAACGTGTCATCGAGGTTATGAGTTGGTGGGCTGCTGGTTCTGATCTAGGATCCATCCTTACAATCATTGTGTCCTTGGGTATGACACTTAACCCTCCTAGTCTGCTGGTGGTGGTCGGAGAGACTGGTGGAACCGATTGTGTGGAAGCTTCACTTCTGTCAGTATGCCCCAGGACAGCTGTAGCTAAAGGCAGTTCGAAATCTGGGTGTTGTGATTGATGAACACCTGACCTTTAAAGATCATGTTGCCTCTGTTACTCGTTCATGCCGCTTTGCGCTGTATAACATACGAAAGATCAGACCATACCCAACACAACAAACCACCCAGCTCCTGGTGCAACCTACTGTCATCTACTGCCTCGATTACTGCAATGCCCTTCTAACTGGTCTTCCAGGCTGTACTGTGAGACCTCTTCAAATGGTCCAGAACGCAGCGGCGCGTCTGGTCTTCAATCAGCACACGTCACCCCTCTGTTCTTTGAGCTCCACTGGCTACCGCTAGCAGCACGCATCAAATTCAAATTGCTGGTACAGCTCCCATCTACCTGAATCCTCTTGCAAAGGCTTACGTCTCGGCCCGGCCGCTCCGGTCATCACAGGATCGTCGGCTAGCAGTGCCTACACCACGTTCAGGACAATGCAGACTCTTCTCATGTATCGTTCCACAAATGTGGAATGACCTTCCAAGCACTACCAGAACAGGGGCTTCCTTTTCAATTTTCAAGAAACTCCTGAAGACCCTGCTCTTCAGAGAGCATCTTCTTAACTAGCACCCTTCCTGCACCCATCCCCCCTCTCTACTGTCCACTCCTTGTTCCCTACTCTCCATGAATGATGTCAAGTTGTTGTTGTTATTGTTGTGGTTAGCCTCAAGGGCAACATGCCGATTATCACTCGAAAGTCGCTTTGGACTAAAGTTGCTGCTAAATACATAAACGTAATATATAGCTTATCACCATCAGTGTGAATGATTTTTGTGTGCATGCAATATTTTCCCCCGACTTAGAAAAGAGCTATACAAATGTGCAATATTATTATATTTAGAGTTGGAGTATTAGTTTAGGTTTTTTGTTTGTTTTACTAACACACACACACACACACACACACACACACACACACACACACACACACACACACACTTATTCTTGCTAAAAAGCTTAGGAGTAACATAATAAATTGACTTCACCAGCAATAATGTCAATTACAGTGAAATTTTGTTGCAATTTCGCACTGAAATGGTCAAAATTAAATGTTTACAAAGTTGACACACTGTTATTTCTGTATCTATTCTTGTAAACACTATAGTTGTAACCTCAATTTAAAAGGCGACAGTTAACGACATTTTCGGGGTCCGCAAGATTCCCGAATTGTAAAGCACAACTATGAACAATGTTAAATACATAAATAAAACTGGTTTCAGCAAAGTGACCTCACATCCACATAAAACCCCTAAAATTTCAGACTTATCACATTATGTTTTGTTTCATAATTACTGCGCAGATGTTACGAAAAACTGGAGTAAACGATTGCATCCGAGTTATCTCAAAGACAACAAAAAAAGACTGCCATAAAACCACTCCGGTTATTTAAAGGAGATTGTTTGTCGGATATTGTTTGTTGACAGACGCCACCATTATTTTTAGGCTGAGCTCGCGTCAGTCCTGTTAGCTGACCTGGTTAGCCGCTATGCTAACGCAGCGCAAGGTCAGTGTGTACGTTCATTAAGTTACAAAAACGGCCCCCTACAGTGTCAAACCACTACACATAACAACTCAGACAATGCTTTTCTAAATAGCCACAGGAATATGGGACTGTAAACTTAATATTAAACAAAAGGTGGAGTCGATTTAGTCAAAACATTCCTTACCCAACAACGCCGCCATCTTTGAAACTCTGGCAAAGCGCCACTTCCGGTGCAATAAGAGTTCAAGACTGCTGAGAGCGCTGTTGTCTATCTATCTATCTATCTATCTATCTATCTATCTATCTATCTATCTATCTATCTATCTATCTATCTATCTATCTATCTATCTATCTATCTATCTATCTATCTATCTATCTATCTATCTATCTATCTATCTATCTATCTATCTATCTATCATCTTTTTTTCTGGTAAAATATCATGGAAATGTTAATAAAGCCGTTTTTGGACTAGGCTGAAAAAGAGAAAGCCATTTAGAAAAGTCAGGCCAACGCAGACTCTAGCCTGCATTATACCTAATGACCAGAAGGGGTCAACACATGTCGCTGAAGATTTGGGCCCTCTTCTACTCAAGTAGGTCCTTCTTCTCCTTCTAGGTTTGTCTTGTACCAAGCATGGTCATGTTTAGTCTGTTTCTCACGTATTCTTGCATACTTAAAGTCAATTTTAGGTTTAAAACTTATAAGGATATTGGTCACTGATTCCGTTCATAACCTTTATGGACAGGATATTTAGGTGCGTGCAGCCAAGGTGTGGAGGGCATTCGCTTTGGTGGCCTGAGGATCAGGTCTGCTTTTTGCAGATGATGTGGTCCTGTTGGCTTCATCAGAACATGATCTTCAGCTTTCGCTGGAGCGGTTCGCAGCCGAGTGTGAAGCAGCTGGGATGAGAATCAGCTCCTCTAAGTCTGAGACCATGGTCTTGATTCGGAAAAGGGTAGAATGCCTTCTCCGGTTCAGGGATGAGGTCCTGCCCCAAATGGAGGAGTTTAAGTATCTCGGGGTCTTGTTCACGAGTGAGGGAAAACTGGAGCGTGAGATCGATAGGCGGATTGGTGCTGCATCTGTAGTGATGCGGGCGCTGTACTGGTCTGTCGTGGTGAAGAGAGAGCTGAGTCAGAAGGCGAAGCTCTCGATTTACCAGCTGATCTATGTTCCTACCCTCACCTATGGTCATGAGCTTTGGGTAGTGACCGAAAGAACGAGATTGCGGATACAAGCGGCCAAAATGAGTTTTCTCCACAGGCTGGCTGGGCTTTCCCTTAGAGATAGGGTGAGAAGCTCAGTCATCCGTGAGGGGCTCAGAGTAGACCCGCTGCTCCTCCAAATCGAGAGGAGCCAGTTGAGGTGGCTCGGGCATCTGGTCAGGATGCCTCCTGGACGCCTCCCTGGTGAGGTTTTCCGGGCACGTCCAACCGGGAGACCTAAAGGTAGACCCAGGACATGTTGGAGGGACTATGTCTCTCACCTTGTCAGGGAATGCCTTGGGATTCCCCCGGAGGAGCTAGCCCAAGCGGCTGGGGAGAGGGAAGTCTGGGCCCCTCGCCTTAGTTTACTGCCCCCGCGACCCGACTCCGGATAAGCGGATGAAAATGGATGGATGGAAAGATATTGGTGTGCAGAGTCATGAAATATTTCTACAAAAGTTCTATATGTCATCAACAGTATGCAAAGCCAACTGCCTCATTGTATGATAAAATTAGATTGCCTACAATACATTTTAATTTCAATTATTTGACCAGCCAATCCTCTTTTGAATCTCTGAAAATCTATTTCTATGCATTCACAAACATTTGAAGGTGCCTTCACTAAACAGAACGTGCAGGGGTACCCATAGAGGTCTTGAACAGAAATCCTTTTTACTGAAAAGTTAAGGTTTGAGTGACATAAACAATTTCACAGCATCAGCAGTTTGGCCCTTCTGGTTTAGCTGCTCTCACATGTGTTGTCTTAACAAATATTTATATTAAAACAAACCAAGTTGTGTACCCTGGCCATGACTCAGAAGCTCTGAGGACATTTGAACTTGTTGCAGTATAACTGTAGATCTGTATTTACTTTAAATAACCAGTAAATCTTTTGAGTGAGTTCTTGTCACTTCAGATCTATTTTAATTTGAAGATAATTTAATTAGCCACGTTGCACATTCAGGCACAACGGAAAACGGGTGCTGTGTTCCCACATTTAAGATTCTTTTACAGACATTAAGTAGAGCAAAAAAATCTCAGCAGTCTGAAAATTTGTATTTTTGACTTGATGAGCATCTTTAGTCGGTGAACTGTCTCTAATTACTGTAATCTAGATCGCTCATCAATCTCTCATCAACTGGGAGTTCAAACAAAATTACAAGTGCTCCTTGTTCTGTTTTAGTTTTGGCCTTTTTTTGGTGCCACAGAGCCACAAGACACACACACACACACACACACACACACACACACACACACACACACACACACACACACACACACACACACACACACACACACACACACACACACACACACACACACACAAACGATTATGAACAACTTTTATTTTGTATTCATCATTTACAAAAGTTTCAGGACTGTCAAAAATGGTTACGATTGACAAGTGCTGCTTCTGTTTGGTTTTGTCAGATTTAAAACAAACACAAACATATTTAGCCGAGCTTTGAAGTAGATAAATATAGGTACTGGAACAGCTTACAAAAACCAATGTTTTATGATTACAGCATTGTTCAAAGGCATCCACAGCCACTGGCAGGCTCTTGCATTTCAAATAATAAAGCACGAATCCACATGAAAACGGGCTGCACGCAGGAGGAGCAGCGAGTCAAGCTGTCACATAGCTGGAGGTTGTAGCGGCAACGGGTGTAGCTGTGCTGAACAGGCGACCACAGGAATGGCCTATTTTTAGAAAAGAAGAAAGCGCAGCTCTCCTTCTCACTGAGAGTCCAGGATGTCTGTGGGTACGATGTCTGGTTTGCCACTAGCGCTCTGTGATGTCTCCCCTGACCAGGAAGAGGGGGTGACCTGATTATAGTGGGCATCCTGGAAGCCAAAAAGGGGCTCTTTGAGACTGAGTGTGTACATGAGGAACAGATTGAGAGCAATCGTGGCGAGGAGCGGGAAGACGGTCAGACCAGAGCCAAATCCTCTCCAGGAGGTGCACATGTTCAGGCTGAGCCAGTAAACGAGTCTGTGAAGGATCCAAAAACACCCAGCAGGAAATTAGAGCAAGTTCAAACATTAAAGATGAACACTCAAAAGCTCCCTGGTGGATTTTTTTATTCAAACAGGATCATTTTCATTACTGTCCTGCCAGACCTAACTGCCTAAAACACATAATCTGACTTAACCCTAACCCACATCATGTAGGCCTTTGCAGAACTGAGTGACATCACACTTAACTCATTCACTGCCATTGATGACTAAAGTCGTCATTTACATTTTTTTTTTTACTGTGGGGGCATCGGAACGAGCCCCCGCACCGTGAGAACAAACATCTCAGTTCTAAAGCCGATCGTCATCCGCATACATCATACGTCACGTGATCAGCAAGCAGAATATCCATGTGTTAGGAGATCGTTTTGGGCCGCTGCTGTAAAAAAAAGTGAGGCGCGAACCGGAAAAGCTTCTGCCGATCACAATTCAACAACGGATTATGAAAGAACGGATAACGCTCGAAACGCGCAGATTCTTCCTGATGCAAGAGGTGAGTCTCGCTTTGTTTTGGTTATTTTGGCGTCAACATCATCCTAACGGTCTCTGACTCTTATTAAACAAGTGAAAACGCTGAAAAACGCTGGCAGCGAAGGGCTTTACTGGTCAGGAAATGGCTGGCAGTGAATGAGTTAATAAACAAAGGATGATCTCAGTTTGAGACCCTGGCATGATAGGTGGAGGGCAATTATATGTTAGGCCGTTTAAAGAGCAAGTCACCCCCTACAAGAAACTTACTTCACTCCCACTTCATGTTTGAAAAATGCAACAAATGCTGTTGCTTGGCAGACCGAGAGGGAGGAGCCGCTAACAAATACACACACACAGGCTCACAATGGCATTATGACATCATAATGTACCAGATTACATCATAGCATACCTCTTAGCCAATAGCGGTGGCAGATTTAAATTCAAATACAGTGCAGAATTTTTCCCTGACGACGGCGCAACACTGACAGTTTTAGGCAGAATATTTGAATTTTAACCAAGATGCACTGAAATGCCAAATTATTGACTACACGTGTCTGCAGCATGATTAGACACTCCTTTATATAGTTTATCAGCAAAAAAAAAAGTGATTTGGGGGTGACTTGCTCTTTAAGTAAGAATTTCCTCAAAACCGCAGTAAAAATGACAGAAATCAAACAGTTTTTATCACATCCTTGCTTAGCTGACATGTCAATTTACAGTTTTAGCCTTTTTTCTCCAACACTTTTTTTAAAAGCACCACAGTGCATAGTTCGTTTCCTGTCCTGAACACAAACTGCACCGCCACTGCCCATCCAGAATGAAACAGCAGGACAGCATCAGAAGCGTGTTTACATGCAGCTACTGACACAAGTTAACTAAGCTGTTCAAGAGTTCTCAGTGCAATGGTAACCTGATCAAATCAGCTACCTCAGGTAGTTTCCAAACCACACATCATGGTTTCCATACTCGTGTAGTTTTGAGATCTTCCTGTTTGGTGGCTCTGATTCAGGTTTAACAAACAGGATGGAAAAAGAAAATCTAAACCAGCTGATCAAAGAAAAGGGCGGGGTTTATTTTTAGTCTTCTGCTGCTTTAGACCAAAATACTGCAGATGTTCATGGTGCTTATGGGGTTAATGGATTCTAGGATGATTTGTTATCACTGTTGGGTGAAAAATACAGAAAATGAATGATAAAATGTGGTGTTTTGGAGACTAGGCGGTACCATGCGTTACTGTGGAACCCTCCTCTGATCCACTTTGACTCTCACCTGCCGAAGATGAACATGACAACCAGGATAGGCACCAACTTCAGCTGGTCTTGAGGCAGTAAAGCAGCCATAACCATAAGGTTGAGAATGTAGAGCAGTAATTGTTCCAAGGATGATGTGACAAACAGCTGCTGAGGAGTCAGTCTTCTAAGAAAAGGCTCCTCCTGGTTGAAGGAACCGGTGCAGAACTGGCACACTGCATCTACGAGAATCGCTGTAAGGAGCACAAAAGCAACAAATCAGTTAGCATCCTGGATCTGGACCATCTTTCTAAAAGCAGCAGCCACCTAGTTTATCATCAGCAGCCTTTTGGTTTTACGTTTTCATTTGAATACAGAAGCTACCAGCAGAATGGCCCACATGCAAATCATCCCCCGTCTTCTGCTTGATAAACAGATGAGAGGAAAATCCTCTGAGTTGGATTTGGTTTGACTGTTTTTACCACCTGCCCTCTCATTTGGAGTCGCCCAGGTTGGGAGGTGATTAAAACGGCTGAGATAATTAGGCCACTGCCTGACACGGCCCATCTCTTTTTCTAGTTTCCATTTAAAGTGAAATTATGAGTCTCTACCGAGGCCCGGGGAGCTGTCTGCTGCTCTGAGGTTTAAAGTGCATTAAATTAAAGGGGACGCCAAAACATTCCAAGACCAGGCAGCCAGACAAACCAAATCCTTTCCTAATCTTTTTATTTTGTTTGAGGTTGTGTTTGCAAAGGTGCGGTTGTTTGAAGCGTACCGAGTACGATGGGGAGCGCAGCCACTGCACAGCAGCAGAAGGTGAAGATGATTCGGCTGGTTATGTCAGGGCAGTCTGGGGGTCTGATGGGGACGTAGAAATAGAATGCATAGAGGAGCCCAGCTGCACAGAGCAGAGAGGCTAGAACTGAGAGGAATGCAGGAACTCGGCCACTCTGACAGCATTTACTCTTGCAGCAGCGACGGCAGCATCTCCCCTGATCCGATACCCCCTCTGTAGCTCCACAAGTCTCTGCTGGGCCTTCTGAGCTCCACACAGCCAGCTCCACGCTCTCTGGTGGCGGGCCTATCAGAGGCCGGCCCTCGTCCACCGTACTCTCAAGATTGGTGCATTCTGGGCTCCATCTCGGTGTGTCTGTGCCGTTGGGAATATCGCTCTGAGAGGCAGGCGTTGGAAGGCTGATGCAGTTTTCCGTGGTTGTGTCCAAAGTGTGTGCTGTGACGATTGGACTGGAAAGAGTCTGATCCAGCTCCTCTTCCCCCATCTGATCTGCTTCAAGCTGTTCTGGGAGGTTGGGCTGCTGGTGGCACGATGTAGAACCTGTTTGAATTACAAAACAAATTCATTACAAAGTTCAAATTTACAGAGACAAATCAGCTGCAGACTTCTTTTAGAGCCCAAAGTCTCAATAATCCGATTCACAAACAAATATGCTTTTAACAACAATAATCTGAAAACAATGTCTATATACTACAACAAAAAACTAAATAATGTCAAGTTTTTCCACAAATATCAGCAAATTATTATGAATGGACTCTATTTGAGTATTGCCTATTTTGTTCAGGCTTCCATTCAAATCCAGCAGCTCCAACATTCAGACAGCATAAATACTGCAGTAATAACTCACTCATTGGCTGCTCTGTTGCTGGTGGCAGATGCAGAGAGTGCTGGGAGCCCGAGACAGAATGGGAGGACGAGTGCAGCTCCTCCACCGAGGACTCTGGACTGTCTGACACCGGCGCCAAGGAGATCTGAGTGTCCAGATCCAAGAAGGGGGAGAAGGAGAGCCTGGCTGGGTCGATGTCCTGGAGCTGGTTGATGATGTCACTAATGGACTCCTTCATGCTGTCGAGCTCCTTCACATTCTGCCGATTAGTGGCCTGAAGCTCTGAGTTGTTCATAATCACACAGCCTGAGAGGAGCTAGATGAGGAAACCAGGCTGACACTAGCTGAGAAAATATCAGATAGAAAATGTAAAATCACTGATAATACTCCTGACATCAGCATTTCATTTTTATATAATTTATAAAGCTCGACACAAACGCGGACTTTATTTTTCCAAGTGCATTTGAAACAACTTTCATGGACCAAAGTTCTGCACAGAAAAGAAAATGTGGAGTAATAATAACACAAGAAAAGGGACAAAGGGGCAAATTTAGGAAAACTCTTAAACTAAATCATAAGCCAAATTGTTGAAAAAATTAACAAAGGGACATTTTCTTATGTGGGGAGGAAGTCAGCTCCCCAGATTTGGTACCAAAAGGGAAAATGCACAATTACCTTTGAGCACCAGTCTTCACCTCACAACCAGTTTCACTCATTGGCAGACCAGAATGTTCCACTAGAAACACAAGGCTGAAGACAGCTAGATATGACAACCTCTGCAGGAACCACTGAACCCAAACTCAAGGAACTCAGTCTTGTCCTCATGAAATTGAGGACGTTATGAACAAACCTGGCTTAAACTTTTTAGAGGAAATTCAGGATTTGAGTGTCATCAGTATAATTGTGAAAGATGTCATAGTTTTTACATGTGGAACCAAGAGGGAGAATGTCTCGGCCGGGGAGAACAGAAGTGGGGCAAGAATGGAACCCTGAGGAACTCCACCAACAATTAAAGAAATGAAGGAAAACAAACAGGGCCAAGGCTAAAAAAGAAGCTCCCAAATGACTTCAATGGCACCCCCAAGGAGTGGGCAGGGGTGGCCATGGCCACCCCTAGAAAATTGCTGCCCCCCTGCCAGGGAAGACTAGTGTTAAATCATATAAATGTTCACTCAAACCATAAATTCATCTAATTTATTCATGACATAAATGTAAAACCCATTAAAAATTATACAATTAATGAGTAATGAAATAACCAGAATAAAAAAATTATTGTTTCTGCTGCTCATTTCAAAAATTTTACGTCTCCATAGTTTGTTTATTTATTTATTTTGTGAAGACAACAGCAGGTGAAATAAACTAAAAGAATACAATTCTAAAATAAATTTTGAAATAACCATCCATCCATGAAATTTATTTTTCTTAAATGTTTGTGTTTCTCAATTTTGAGTTAAGTGTTTTGGATACATAATGTTTTTCAATAAAATAGAATAAAGGAGCAATGCAAGGCATCGCCACAGACTAAACTCTCCCACAAGGACCAATTTGGTGTGCTACCCAAAAAATGACCCGTATGGCCACCCTTATCGAAATGTTGTGGGGGCGCCCCTGAATGACTTAAACGGGCCTTTAACACAGAAATACTGAAAGTGGGATCAAGATAATCAACTATGCAAAAAAAGACTGCTGGGATCTAAAAGCATGGAGAAAGTCAAAGAGTAGGTGAGGAATTATGGCCCGTTTAAAACAGGCCGAAACAACTGCGTTAAATTACACATTTAATCCATGAAGATTTTTCTTGGGAGAAAACAGTAATATGTCAGTTTACCATCGTCTCAAACTGACTTATGGAGCTCTGGCAGGTAATTTCAAATCTCATCTAAGAGTATTACGGAAACTTTAGAGCCAAAAATCGACAGATTTCACAGCTAAATAGAATAAAAGTAAAACGTTGTTGGCATAAAATCCAATCGAATCACCAGGACGACAGTAAAACGGCACCAACCGGACTTTTGACGTTCTCATTGTGTTTCTACTACTTCACATCTGCAGATTGACTTTAGCCACTTTCTCTTGGACCTTTGTTGGCGCACATCCAACAAAGGCGCAGAGTCTGCACGCAAAAACTGTTCGGAGACGCTTTTTTTCTCCAAACAAACTCGGGCTTTACCATGTATAGAGCGCAATAAGGAGGCGTCTGAAGGGAATAAATCACGGTATGGTTATCGGAGCTGGCGCGGATGTGGAAAAACGCGTGAGGGAGCAATGCGCCGTTTTTACTCCCCGCAGAAAGAAATATCTTACCTCTCCATGCTGGGAGGAAAGACCTAAACAACAAACCTAAACAAAGACCTTCCACACCGCCCTTTTGTTTCGGGGTTGAGGATTTATTCCTCAAGTAAATAAACCAAACGGGACTCGCTTGAAGTCGTGCGTAAAATCCGCAGAAGTCATTCAGAAACCTTGAATTCATCAATGCGATTAGAAGCAGACCTGCTATGTTTACATTAAATATCCATCCGAGCATTTAGCTGAAAAAAACAACCCCTTTTTGGTTTAAATTAACTTACTTTAGTTGGAGATTGTAGATTATTTAGGAGAGTTTAAACCTCCGTCCTTCCCTCCCCCTCAGTTTGCTTTTTGTCTTCCACGATTCCGAACTTCTGAATCAAATTTCTGGACAGACGGAATACAAGGCTTTTCCTCCGCCCACACGCGGTTTTTTTCTCCTCCGGGGTACCATGTCAAAGACCATATGGAGCAAATAAAAGGAGAGGATCCACTGCAGCAGCAGCAGGGGGAGGGGGCTCTCAGTTTACCTTCATATCCAACATTACCAATCACATCCATCACAAACCCAAGCTCATGTAAACAGGACAGTAAACATTTACACGGACACTAAACTTCAGCTCAAATATCCACACAGGGTGAGTGTTTTTTTCTGCTGGGAAACTTAGGACTCCACACAACTCAGAAATCGAGTTTTTTTTTTTTGGTATTTTCAGACATATTTTAAGAAGATTTCAATTATTATTTTGGATATTCTTATTTCTAAACTTCTCCCATTCAGGAGACTTTTCAGTTTGAGGTTGAACTGTCAGAACATTTGATTTCTGAGATCAGATGACTAAAGTTTTATTGTCAAAATTAAAACTTAATAAGTTCAGGCTGTGCTGCAACGAGACACGACTCCAGATCCAGATCAATAGTCCTACTGATCAGAAAACATGCTGTTTCATCAAATTATTAAAAGAAGTCCAAAAACCTAAAAACAGACAGAATTTAAAGAATAAATACAAGATTCAATGAATAAAGGTTTGGGGTCTGATTTTAGGAAGGTTCCAGTAGATGCAACATAGAAACTATAACAAAATTCTGACCCAGAAACAATCTCAACGACAAGCTTCATCATTCTTTAGTTTGATATCACAACAAGTTCAGATTAAAAAATAAATAAAATCCGACATCAGGTGTGAGTTTCACATTTATTATTTGGGTAAATTCATGGCATTAAAAAGCATTTCTGAAATGTACAGATAATAGACGTTGATTTGCAATATAATCAATAAATAGAAAAAAGGCATTTCAAGTTTTGTTCTGTAAATATTTACACAAGTTAGCAGTTAACAGCTCAAGGAATGAGTCTTGGAGGGAATGAAGGTTCAAGTTCTAATCGATGAGCAGCACATTCGTCGCCAGGGAGGACACAGGAGGACGAGCAGGTCCAACACAAGCCAGCTGTCTCATTTCAACAGGATTCTGCTTTTTAACCAAGACACAATGAAAGCAAACATGAGCCGTGGAAGTCATGAGAAGAAGTCAGAGTGGGAGTTGATGGGTTGGAGAACCCACTCAGTCCTCTGACAGCAACCTGAGGAAGTGGTCCTTCCTCTTCTTAAGTACCTCTGGAAAATCCTCCTGAAAAAACACAGCAGGAGATATTCAGACACAAACTCACAGCAGCAGCAGGGTGATGCTGCTAAAGATAACCAGCTGTTCCAAACACCTCAAACAGCTAAAATCTATAAAATTACGTTTTACTTCCATAAAAATGTAGGATTGCCAATTTAAGGCCGATCATGGACTACAAAAGAAAGTTTATTGAATTATTTTCTTCTGCTACCGATGACTGATCCAACCTGTTAGATGGCAGCAACTTTAAATTACTTACACATCAGACACACCTGTCATAGACTAATGGTCTCAACCCCAGAAAATGTCAGTTATTATGAGACCAGCGGCGGATTGTTGCGCGCAAAGGGCTTCCCGTCTCTGTGTGTGGATTATCTCGTAGGCATGGTGCTGGAATTTCAGCCGTGGCGCAGCATCACGCTTGAGTCCACATAAAGCTAACAGTGGATCTACTCCGAGCCCCTCCCGGATAACAGCGCTTCTTACCCCATCTTTAAGAGAGAGTGCAGACACCCGCAGAGAAAACTCATTTTGGAATAGAATAGATCTTTATTGTCACCGTTGCAAGAAGAATGAAAGGCAGTTTGGCATCTCTCCATGTATGTGCGGAACACAATAGCAAAAAAATTAAATAACAAATATTTACTAAGAAAGAGATAGGTATTGCACATTGAGTGGGGGTGGGGGGGGGGTGTTGCTGCAGCTATAATAAATAAAAGTTGTAATAAATACAGTTTAAGAGGTAGGAACGTCGGCTGCATTATTTTGGCCGTTTTAATCCACCACCTCATTCTTTCAGTCATTACCCAACACTCGTGACCATAGGCGAGGGTAGGAACGTAGATTGACTAGTAAATTAAGAGCTTTGCCTTCAAGCTCAGCTCTCCTTACATCGACAGACCGGCTGCAGCACCAATCCACCTATCAATCTCACGCTTCATCTTTAACTCACGCACTCAATCTTTGCTTTCTTAATTTATTATTTTATGCATCAAAATTATCGGATTGGGACTCGGTATCTGCAGATTCTCAAAATCAAACGACTCAGACTCGAGGGCAAAAGAACCTGATTGGGACACCCCTATATAGCTTTCAAAATATGTAAAATGAAATGCTAGGAGTAAATGTCTTTTAGAAGACCGAAAAGTTGCTGAAGCACAACTTTTTTAAATTAAACTTTTATTTTAGATCTCTTAGTAAATTGAACTGAAACGGTCTGAAAATGGTTTCATTGAACATTTTCCACTCCATTTTACAAGACAAACAGAAATGTGTCTGATTTCAATTTTTAATCACCGTTTTTAAATTTCCGCATTTTAGTTATCTTAATAGTAACCACTGCACTTCATTATCACATTGTTTGTACTTTGAAATATTTAATGTTTATGTTAATCCTGTTTTCTAACATGCTATGACATGTGCTACCGTCTTAGTCTCAGTGTTTTTTTATCTGGTTAAATAAAGGTTTAATAAAAAATAAACACAGAAAACATGTGCGTCAAGTTATTTGGAGACTAAATTTTCCCTAGGTGTGCTTAAGTTTTATTGAATTAGATGAATAAATAAATCAAGTTTAAATAAATCACATTGTTGACACAGCTCTGTATGTAGCAAAGTGACTCAGAGCGGTTTTACACACTTTACACTCCCCTTGATACTTTCTTGTTCAGACATTTTTGAGCCAAAAGCTAAAGAAAATTATTTTCTGTAACGGTTAAGTGACCTAATGATTTAATCTTAGTGCTCATATAAAACACTTGATGTCATTAAACCTTTATAAACACATAAAACACTTTTACATGTAATGATGCAATAAAACCACATGGGGGAGACAAAATTAACTCCAATAATATGTGAAAATTATTAAAGATGTAAAAACCCAACAGTTACTCTTCAGAATCTGTTTTAGGAAACCTGCTGGCTGTCGCAGAAACTCATGAAAATGTGACTAAATGCTGAAGTGAAACCAAGACGAGTAGCAGACTCACAGCTGCAGCCACCTTCTCCATGTAGGGGATGAGTTTCTGCAGCTCCCTGTCCTCTGGGTCTCCAGACCAGCTCTTGATGGGTATTGTATTGACCAGCTGCAAAACCAACAAAAAATATGTGTCATATATTCTGATTTCATTGAGTTTTCAGAAACTGTGCTAAACTGATAAACATGCTACTGCTTTTTAAAGAAAAATTAAATTTTGTTGCAATATAGAATAATAACAAAAAAATCATAAAAAATGACTAACATGGTATGGATATGTGTGGGGTGCATTGTCCAGGACCACAGTTTTTGCAAGATCTCTCTCAAGGAAGCTGAGATCTTTGATGTAATGTCCAAGAACACAGGAGCAATCATCCTGGTACAGACGATGTCTGTGGAGAGCATTAAGCACAGAAGAATAAGCAAACACAGCCAACAACACAATAGTAGCTCCAACTGTACTAAACACACGCTTGCTTATACAGATTAGAGCGATAAAAACAAGCTAGAGGTCAGTAAGCTGATGTTCTCTCGTAGAGATTAATAAAGTCTGTTGGGAGTTCTTTTACTAACGTGTTGCTTTAAAAGTTCTAATCACTGGTAATTTCATAAAACACACAACCACTTTGCAAATGTAGTGTTGAAATACCAGAAGCAGATTTTTGGGAAACGTACCGAAACAGTTTCCTTTGAGGGTCCAGGATCTCCAGGATCTTCTCAGCATACTCTTTCTTTGCACACGTATAAACAAACAGCTACAAGACATAAAGCAGCGATTATACAACCGAGCCTTGTTCCTAACTCGTATGAAGAAAATAAAAGTCCAAATACCTCATAGATTTTTGCCATGGCCTGCAGAAACTCCTTCACATGTGGACGTAGAATCATGTACACCTGTTTTATCGAGAAGGAAAGAGCAGGTTGTTTCAATTCTTTAGTTTCTGTTTAAGATTTCAGACTGAGCCTAAAAAGCTTAATAAGGCAGCTGTTTTAACTTCTGTTGAGTTGACTGAAATAAAGCAATACTGTAGGAGAGTTGTTGACTAGCAGATAACTTTATACAAATACAAAGTTTTTCTTTAAAACTCCAAACAGCATGGTTCCCCTTATTAGTCAAAAACTTGGTCATTTATCTTCTGCCGTAAGTCAAACTGGAGGAATTTGGGTGTTGTTTTTGACCAATCAATGTCTCCTGAAGGCCACTGAAAAACAATGGCCCAAAAACACTTAATATCTCCAAACTGCGAAGGTTGGTGTCAAAACATGAACTTAAAATGGTTATCCATGCCTTTATCTCCTCCCGACTAGATTACTGTAACACACTCCTCACGTTTTAACAAAAAAAGCCCTTGACCGCCTTCAGTTGGTCCAGAACTCTGCAGCGAGGCTCCTAACTGGAGCAAACAGAAGAGCACACATCACTCCTATTCTAATGTCTCTGCACTGGTTACGCGTTAACTTTAGTTATGCTCCACATGGTCAAGCTCCTCCCTGTATTACTGAACTGTTGAAGCCTTTTGCTCCAACCCGAGCCCTCAGGTCCAAACACCAGAACCTTCTAGACGTTCCAAAGACAGATATTAAAGTCAAGGTGATCGCTCCTTCCAGACTGCTGCACTCCCACTTTGGAATGATCGCCCTTGATCCTTACGTAGGATTGACAGTCCGGACATTTTTAAAACAGTTGAAAACCTTTTTAGCCGCTTTTACCTAAATCTTTCGTTTTCTTATTTTTAACTCATATTTGTGAACACCTTTCATTTGTTTTATGATACTTTATAATTTTATGACTTTATTTTTTCTGATGTTAACCTATTTCTGTTTTGAGATCATTATGGTTATATATTTTATTTTGTTTTGATCTATGTGAAGCACTTTGCGATTCTGTCTGTGATAAGTTCTGTATAAATAAAATTTACTTACTTTCCTGCTGCTCATTTTTCCTCGATTATCACACGAATGAGTCACAGAGGAACTCTGAAAACTTGAAGCAGCTGCTAGATTTAACATTAATATCTTTAAATCGTGAAGGTATTTTTTTTAATTTAAAGAAGAAAAAAAAAGTTTGTGTTTGACTGGCCAACATTTCCTAAAAGTCATAGTGGTTGAGAAGTTGACACATTCCGATGAAAACACGAGAGATTGAAAACAAAAACAGATCTGTGAACAGCTGCTTGCAATGGGAGGTTACCTTATACTGATGGTCTTGGAAAGTTGTGTGGAAAGTATAATCTGCATCTTTGATCACAGTCAGGGAACTGAACATCAACGTTTCCTCCTGAAAAACACAATCAGCCTGAGTTGATGTCTTTACAACCGAACCCCGGCCCTCATCCAGTCCCTTAAGATTAAAGTCAAAAGTTAAAGTCCCATTAGTTGTCACACAAACAGGTGTGTGTGTGTGAAATTTGTTCTCCGCATTTGACCCATCCCCTGGGGGAGCGGTGAGCTGCAGACACAGCCGCGCTCAGGAACTATTTGGTGGTTTAACCCCCCAATCTAACCCCTTAATGCTGAGTGTCAAGCAGGGAGGCATTGGGTCCCATTTTTTCAAAGTCTTTGGTATGACCCGACCAGGAGTCGAACCCTGATCTCCCAGTCTCAGGGTGGACACTCTACCACTAGGCCACTGAGAAAGGTAGGGTAGGTTGGGTAGATTAAACCCAACACGGTGACCAAGTGATGAAGCAATCGTCAACAGGAAACAGCTGAAGCCCTTTTAGATTACATGGAGTGTGTTTGGCCAGAGGCAGATGTGGGACGGGCCAACGTCAGTAGTGCCTCTTGTCCAGAACAACAAATAGGAACACAAACAGAAAAGGGAGCTCTGAAAAGAGGAGCTGCTGTTGGCACTTCGTTAATCCAACTTTTGATGCTCCATAATCACTCTTCGTTGTTCATTTTCAATATAAATGGAGTTTATAATCTTCTTTACTATATCAAACAATGTTTTTAAAATTCTTTCTTCATAACATAAAGATAATGGGATTTACAGATGGACCAACTGGTGGCTCGTGCCCTCATGGACACATCTGTAGTCCTTGTTTTGCTCCTGTTCACTAAACTCCAGTTAAACCAGGGAATTGGTGTTTTTAACCTTTATTTATCCAGATGACTCAATTGAGAACTCATTCTCATTTACGATGACGATCTGGCCAAGAGGCAGCAGCAACAGACACAGTTAGATTTACGGCAACGAAAAACAAGTAAGACAGTAATCCAACCACCACAGAATAGGGGGGTATGAACACATGTGGAGATAAGACTCAAATGAGGTGACAATCTTTAAACCCACAAGGTCGACCACCAATGTAGCCTCTGGAGTGCTCCTGGTCTTTGGAGGAATATCTCTGAGAAATGGTCGGGAATGATGGGACTGGGACAGGATGTTCTTGATCAAGGTAAATCTGTGGAGAAAATTGGGTTAATAAACCCAACAGAATACATGAATAATACAACAATTGATATCATCTTTTTAAAATGTACAAAAGCGATCGATCTCTGCGCATATTTCTATACTTTTGAGTTGTTTGACTGTTCTGAAAATGTTTAATCTTTAATGAACTAACTTCATGCTCATGTAGAGTCTAGGATAAAACAGAAAAATTATATTTACGGATCAAAGATGTCATCCTCCTCTTCTCCAGCCAGCAGATCAACAGAGCCATAACCAAACACACCTTGTTCTGGACTCATCAACACACTGCTCCCAGTTTCGGAACACTCCATGTCTTGACAGAAAATAAGAACATACACATAAAACACGGGACATGATGCGTGCAGGTTACCATATTGTTATGCAACACTGCAAACACTGTGGCAGGAATTTTTAAAGTTTCCAAAATTCAATAAATCAATTGTACAGATTATTCAGTGACATGACCAAGCATAGGCCTGGGAAATAAATCAAAAATTAGTTGTTATTGAAATTTCTGGCTTTTATCAGGAAAATTATTCCCATATCAATAAATTTGACAATTAAAAAAAAAAAAAGAAAAGATGTGTGTAAGTTGCAAACGTTCATGTCTCTTTAAGAAGCTGTACCACATTGAGTCACATAAAAATGTGACTCAACAATACACGTGACAGCCCCCTCTAGTGGACAACTTTTGTTTCTGCGCATACATGTAGTTATCGTCCATTTATCGTTATCAATGTGAAATCCTCCATGTATCCTGATATTAATTTTAGGCCACATCACCCAGCCCTAATCAAGAACTAAAACTTTTTTATTTAATAAATTAAAATAAATGTCAATTTAATATTTTAAAGCACAACGAGCCATCAGAAACTCAATATCATCGCAAAAAATCTTGGCTTTGCACAAAATATGGTTTGGAAATTTTTTCAGGTTTGTCCCAAGGTGGCTGGTTATAAATGTTTTAAGCTGTTGTAGGGCCACACTCTATCGCACAATGACTGCATATTTAATTATGACCAATAAGATGCGATGATTCCATATTAATATGAAATATCAACCTGATTGATCTTTGAATGTTTAACCAGAAGAGTTTAGGATTGTTTGCTTGTTCAGGGACCATAAACACACTTCGTATCAATTCAGGCGGAGTCAAGAAAATATTTAAAAGGAATTTTATTCTTTTCTAAACTAATGATAATCCATGACAAGCTATGCATAATGATATGTGATGGAGTGCTGGGTTTTTCCTGGCTCAAATTGAGGCAGAGGTGGTACCATCCTGACCCTGCGCCAGCACATGCATACTCTCTGCATTCAACTGCCTCACTTTTTTTAAAGGCAAAATATTATAAAAGGCTCAATAATATGCATTGGTGTTTATTTCCCTTTTTCCCATCTGATAATTATAGTTAAAAATATTTAAATATTTGACCTACATTTCAGTAACATTTTAGGTTTGCATTAATAACACTCATCTTAGTCAAAATAACACAAATATATCCTGTAAAATAAAATGCATTTCATTAACATGCATTTGTATTGGAAATGGTAATACCATTTAATTTCTGCTGCTAACAATGTGATGGTGGCATGTCTATTATGTACGG